GATCTTTCCTTTCTCTTCCTTGCCGTTCCCCTTACTTACACACACACACACAACTACAAGCACTACACTACCAACATGGCAAGAGAGCTTAGAGCTTGTGATGGGGTGAGTGCCCCTCGCTGATGGGAGATTCCTGGTTAGGAAAACATCGCTATCCGAAGTGTAGATCAGCGCCGGATCCCGCCATGCAACCTGGGAAGAACTCCAGGAATTCGAAATTCAACGCACAGACACCTCTCTCTGCTTCGCCCGTAGAAAACACACGCCTGTTTCATATTCTGTATTTTCAGCATGTTCACTTTATGAATTGTTGGCCCAACGGCTCGAACGTATCTGGCGTTTTTTTCTTTTACGACATTTTGTCAGTCAACGCGACACAGCGAAAGTTAAGTATCTAAATTTTCCACTATCTCTGCGCTCGCACTCCACCCATAAACGACCCTCCCCCTCCCCCGGGTTTGCGTTTAAGAGAGTAACAAACAGACGGGATGCAGCATGACGCGACGCGACACTACCCGACGCGGGCAAGATCAAAATCGTGCGAAGCGTGAAGCATAAACACTCGTCAAGCGGCGCAGCGCGGCTGGCCCTGTCGCGCCGTTGCAGTCCGCCTGAAATGCCTGAGGGATTGACAGCTGGGAGTGGGGGAAGGCGCCCGACACGTGGTTGCGGATGGTCGACGCAGGCTCCAGACTCGACACGCTCGTGGTCGCTCTGTCGTAAATGGCGAGCGGGTTGTTCACTATGATGTTAAGGAACCACTGTACGTTGTTGAAATCCACTAAAAATATTAATTTCAATGATGCCTTATTTTCCGTGCTGAGGTTCAGGCCAAGAGGCCTGCTCTTCTGAGTGACAAGTGAAATTCTTCCGTCTGACTCTTCCGTCTGACCACTGAAATTTCAGCTACGCTCCTTTCACCGTCCGTCTGGCAGAGAAATGAGGTATCACTGGGGTGATGAAAACTGGCAATTTGAATTTTGCTCAGAGGCTTCATTTAGGCTTGAGGATCTTTTACTTGCAGTAAATCTACAACTTGGGACAGCCGGCTTTACTTCCCCTCCGAATGAAGGTGCACGAAGGATTTTTTCGCCCTTAAAAATCCATGCTTTGATCGGTTTTAAACCCGCGAACTTGGGTTTGATGCTTTGTTACTCCACCGATGTCATAAATATAGTATATTGAAGAACTGTTATAGTTATATGTGAAGAGAAGGCGTTTTCCGGTTAGCCAAGACTAATACTATCCAATGTCTTTTACCAGGACCATTACAAACTGTCAAAGCAACAGTAAACGATCTAAACACACCAAGCCATGCTCATCATATTTAATTAAACAGTCAACAACTGCCTAATGCGATAATAATTCCTCCAGTCGACAACTGATCCAAACCTGATCCAAATAGCCTGATCCAAAACCAGCTATAACCCCGATTCTAGTAGATCTTGCCTGGGCTGTGGCCTGAAATCCTCCCCTCGGCCGCTCGGGGCGCTGCGCGCGCGAATGACGCCAGGCCCCCCCGCTTCCAGTTGAACACCGCATCGCAGGCCCCGTCACGATAGAGCTCGCGCCGATGCATAAACATGGAAGACAGCGGCTTCATGCATACTTATCTCCGCCATGTGTGGCCGGTTTCGCATCGAATAACAGCTCGGAATCCCATCTGCCGATGGCGAGGCTAATAGAGACCGACCCGGCCGCCGGGAGGGACGCGGCACGGGTGCGTGGGAGTGTGTAGGGGACGTTTTAATCCGACAGCGAGGCGACGGGTCGGCGTTCTCTCGGCCAGTCGTCCTCCGGTCGGCATGCCAGAGATAAATTCCAACCAGGCGACTCACGCGTGTCGACAGCGTCGGTAGGCCAAATATTCCGCGTGCTTTTTTTTTATGGGGGCGTTCGATCGTTCGTGCTTTGAATTAATGAGAGCTTCGGTTCATTCTTTGTCACATTCGGGGACCGACAATTAAGTGCACTAATAGAGATATGGCTACATCATTCTCTTGAAAGTATTCGCAAATTTAGAAATATTGGACGTAGGTCGTTTGTGGTCACAAAATTTTGTTTTACGATAATCTATTGTGGACAAGTGATGGCATTCTTCCCTCTTTTACACCTAATATAGTTCAAGATAAAGTACTCTCAAGAAATTAACTTCCATCTAGCTAAAATGACAGGAGAAATTGAACATGCGCTGTAAAATTGTCTATTCAGACTATTACGTTCATTATCGCTGTCCTGGCGTGAACTTATATTTCTAAATTATCACTAGTCTTGTTCGTCTTCTTGACCTTACAAGTGATTATCATACTATTTTTTTCATATTTACTTATTCATCAAATAAAAATTACTTTAATAAATCAAACTTTTAGCGAAAACGGTATGCGCTGTTGACATATTTAGTTTATTTATTTAATATAGATTGTAATAAAAGCTTCTCGGTGCATTTAAAAAAGGGTGAAGAAGAACTCTGGGGTTGAGCTTCGTGTTTTGAATTTTAGAATTGAGAGGCTACAGTCGGTTTACTTTCGAGTGCCGTACAATTATCAGTTATCATCACAAGCGTTTGTAAGCAAGCGTCATTTCTTTATTGATCAATTACATCAAACAAATCTGTCAATTTTTTGTAAAATTACCGACAAAAAGTAAAGGAATTTATTACTCTATCCTGTCAATTGTAAATGAAATTAAATGCGGTGAAATAATTTTGAAATTAATTCGAGCACAAAATTTGTATTTAACCGAACGTAAATTTTTATGTATTAAATAGTAAAGGGTGACGTTTTTTGCTTATGAAAGAGAAATTTGTTTAAGGGACAAACAATTAAAGCCACTTTTAATACCCCCGCCAGTTTTCCATTAGAAAAGTGAGACGAATTGTAAGTGTCAGGGAATACTAGCATCTCTTCTAATAAGCAGGCTGCCATGCAAATTTAGCTCTCGGCTTGAAGTGAAAAATAACGAAAATCAAATAGCAATGTACGTTGTGTACTCGTATAATTTGAGAGAATTTTGTCCTCATCAATTAAGCTTCCTCCATTCAACACCGCCAATGCCAAACGCTTGGCCAATGAATGACAACGTTCTGCAAAGCACACAATTCGTTCCAGATATTTAAATCTTTAAAATATTTCGTATTTCATAGATAGTCATCGAGATTATTGTCCCTAGAATTTTCTCAAAAGTGTGTATAGAACAGAGCAAAATTTTTACCAGCTTATGCCTCCTTTGGACTCGTCACATCATTGCTATAGTGAGGTGGTTCGTTTATTGTTGCCCTCGTAAAAGAAACAGCAATCTGATATGGATAAACTGGTGATATACTTAGATTTTCCATTGTCCTAGGAGTGCCTGCTTAACGTATATTAAAATAATTTATTCGTACACATGCCAGTCAATGTTGCTGTGTAACAATAATTGGCATGGAAAGATTTACAAGTGATTACAGCGTCATATTCTGCACCGATTTTTCCCGGCTTCATTTTTCAGAATTTTAATTTTTTGTGTTGTTTCTTTCGCCAAAACTATATCTGATCGAGTAATTATCTTCTTTCGTGATTTTAAACACTAGTTTGGCATACGTTATTTTTATTGTGTAGTTTCTGTTCTCACAATACTTCGGAATGAATGGACGGTTACATTTCAAAATTCAACTATTAACAGCACAAAACGTCATAACGAATTGGAGAAGCGCTTAGGAAGTTACGAACCAATATCGGATGAACAGCACGTTTGAAGACAATAATTAGAAATGTTAGCATAATTTTTAGCTATACTCCAACAGAGAATATAGACCAGCAAGACAAAAGTAAATTCTACTCATAGTTACAATAAGTTTCACAAAACATCCCAAAGAAAGAAATGAAAATACTAATGTGACATATGAACCCAAAAGGGGAAGAGCGAAATGAAGACCTTGAACTAGTAATAGGAGAGAGAAATGCAAATGTCGAATTCTGCACTAAGTACTGATTTGTAATACATTTTACAATCAAATTTAATAAAACGTTGCTTAATGTACGTTAAATAATAAAAAAATATGGAAATGAAAATAGAACCAGGTGAAGTTGACAAGTTCAGATAACAACATCTGAAAGAATGAAGGAATATTCTAAGAAACGTAACGAAGGAAAAACAAATAAGAAGTAACTATAAAATTATCCCTAGTATCTAACGTACTCCAAATTGTGTGATCCAAATGAAGAATAATAATTATATAATATTTCCTTCAATTATTTTACAGTTTATTACAGGGGGTCCAGGTTTGAACCCCTCATTGGTGTTCTCCAGCTACTGTAATGACATTTGATGTGGGATTGTTAATGTGAACAAAGCATTCTGTCGTAGATCAGTATTTCACAAGGCCCTGACTCTTTTTATTTAATTTCAGAATGTTGCCAATTTTTTAATTTCTTTTCGCAGAAATGCCATCCTTATTGATAACAGAAACTAAACTTTGTGTCCGCAAAGACAATTTTGAATCGACATGCCTAAACACAAGTGCGTGAACAGAATTAACGGAACTTTCATTACCCCCATTAATTTTTAATATTTTTTTTAGTAACGTTACATGTGTATTGAAAAATATTATATGGTAATGTTTAATCCGCATTTATCTTAATTTGACAAAATAACGGTGCCAATTAAAATATAAAATTCCCACTCGTAATTATTTTTCTTGTAATTGACTACTGAAAAGTAGACAATTCGAACCCAGAAGTTCCGCTTTGAATTGTATTCGTTAACACTTTCTATAACCCTTCAACAGCAGATGCGTTAAACCCGGGAAATTGATGTTACCCTTGCTTTTTAATTAAAAAATGAACAACTACTCAATTTTCTGATGTCGGTTTGTATTAATTGTAAGTTTGTGTATCAATTTGACTTAGTTCATTGTAAACAATTGCAGACAGAAATATCAATATGTTCGACGGTTTTTAGATTAATACTCATCAATTTTAATAGAGAATGAATTAGGATTGTAGATAAAGTCTCCGTCAAAAATGCGTGGAGTAGGTATGTATGAAATGTTGGAAAGCGGAATTTATTTGCAATTTATGTACAAAAAGGATGACTCGCTTCTGCATGAGCGAATTACGGTTATTAGAAATTATCATTTGTAGCGTATTTCGCGTAACTCACCAGAGGTATTCCCACTATGACATTTTTACTGCTGGTCATGCAAACATTATTTGCCATTTGTTCTAAAATTGTCCCTTTTTCGTCTTGCTTCTTCTCAGAAGCAGACTGTTCATAAGAACAATGATGGATTATTAGAAAATGTTTGAACTGTTTCTCTTGAACTTCTCTCCTTCCCTCTCTCTACTCCTCTGTTCTTCTGTCGCATATCGCACACTCGTTCACACATACACAAACCTACCTACCTACACACACACGCGCGGGCGTGTGTGTATATATAAATATATATAAATAAATATATATTTATATGTAAATAATTTATTATATATATAATATATATATATATAATATAAATATATATATATAATATATATATAATATAAATATATATAATATATAATATTATAATACTAATATATTATAATATATGCACATACATACACATTCATTACAAATTTAATTAATTTCCTTCTTGAGAATTACAACTTTGTTATTGAGGAATTTTGCGACACACATCCCCATTGTGTATCTCGAAGAATATACAAAAAATATTAACTAGCAGAGCGTTGGTTCGATCCACGGACCTCTGGGTTATGGGCCCAGCACGCTTCCACTGCGCCACTCTGCTTGTGCGAACTATCCGCTACCTCTTATGTCTATTTTTCCAATGTATGTTCATGAAATGCTTTTAAAATATCGGGTTGTCAAAGCCTGATTTTCATTCACTGACCTCATATATTGACTTTTTCGTGGACTTCTTACCTAATTACAGACATTATTAACATTGTTTAATTATCTTCATGAAATGTAACAGCTAATGCTATTTCATAGTCAAAGACGTTACTTGTGAATAAAATAAAAGTAACAGATCTTAACATTCACAATTATAACTACAAATTTCTAATAAAAATTGATAAAAAAACAAATTAGTTAATGATAGCAAACGTAGGCATGCGCATTCTAAAGCAAGAGGGGAGGGGGTCATTTGCATTTCTGAGCCCCCTTTTTCATTAAACTTTATGGCATATTTTACAAGTAAATTAATAATTCGTGCTACAAGAAGCTTCAAATTACAAGTAATAAATTCAATTAATTTTATATTGAACTATTTCAAGGGTTGAGAGAAGGCTCTTAGAGCATCGTCTCCAAATATTTAAAATTTTCCCAAATTATCAAGTTATAAAATAGGGAAAATTAGGAATTGAATATATTTACGTAAATAAAATGTTCTAAATTACGTAAGGCTATACGGCCCCTATCAAAATATTCGGGGGGTACTTGCCCCCCGCACACCCGTGTACACGCCAATGACAGCAAAATATTCAGGATTCTGTGCCTTCTAATTTACTTAAAATATCTACTAAATGTAGATTGAAGATTGATTTTTATTTTTGGGCAAATAGTCTGTAATACGATCATGCAGTGGTGAAGAAGAATGTAATTCAAACTTTTTCCATGACACAGTCACATTAGTAGCGGAAGAGTAAAATAGAACTAGTGGTACTAAAGAATGGCCCAGACTTTCTCGTACTAGTTAGTTTCCTAATCTCTTTAGTCGGGTGTAGCTTTTCGGTTTTGCACCCAAGCTGATACCTATCGGCAACTAAAAGACATTTTGTTCACATTTTCTCAATTATTTAACTTCTCAATTTCAATTGTTCCGACCCTTATAGTAGAATTGAAATATATCTTTAAGAAAATTTTAGAAGAATGGAACTTGGTTCTAAGCGCATTAAAAAATGGTTTTTGAGAAAATATCCTTTGAGCATTTCTGCGCAGACACTCTATAGCCGTACACGCTAAGGTGCTTCATGCAGTGGACAAAGTCCCTAGTAAGTAGCTCTTAGTGATATTTCCTAGTCAGTTACTAGTGTTCGATACAGTTATTAGTGTTCGATGGTCCTGCCGATAAATCGGTTATTGATATTTGATTTCTGCCATCCCTGTGTTACATTGAAAACACTGACAAAGCATACAGAGCCGTGGCAGTTTCAACTTGGGAGTTTCAAATGACCATCGAAACAGGATAATTTTCTTTTCACGTTTTGTCAACAATGTGCACTAATCAATTGAACCACCTACTGGATGATGAAAAAAACCTACTCACTGCAACGCAACTGATGGATTTCCTCAGTACTCTGCACCGACGAGGTTACCCGACTTGATCCAGCGCCTTCGAGATAAACCAGTGTATCCAGAGGGCATTGCTCTATCCACCTCCGCCAACCACGCTATACACAATTTCCTGGAAGCTTTCAGCCATCTGCCCACGAATCCATTCCGCCGGCGTGCTTGGAATACAAAATAAACACAGAGGCGCTCACTGGAGCGATATAACTAAGTTTTTACTTTCTCGCTACGGAATGCTGATAAACCACGTCTAATAATAACAACCTCGAATTTTCGACAAAAAAAAGACTCTTAATATAGGGCCCTGGTAACGATAAATCCAGGTTATCCTGGTGGATAAATCCAGTAAAACCAATTTAGAAAAAAATCCTCTAACATACGTGGTGCAACCAGAATCTAGTTTTTGTGGGAACTTGATACCGAAAAATCGAATGACGACAAAACGTCTACCCGTCTGTCCTCGCTGGATAACGCAAGCGCAATATTGATATTCTCCTTTCGATCTGGCTCATGTCGCGGCCCCTTGAATTTGAAATCGATATTTTAATTTTGGAAGGTACTTTATATAAAGCTACTAGGACATTTTCAACAAAAAAAGAATCCATCGTTTTTTATTGAATTTCATTGTTGGATTGTATGAAGGACGTTTAAGAGATTGGCGCAGATCGTATCGTCGTTGAAAACTTCGAAAATTGTAAAAAATTAAAAACATTTCGGTGCCTTCCTGCAACTAAAATATTAAAAATAGAGATTTTTCCCGTAATGAAATCTGCTCCTTAAAGATAGAATTTGAAATAAGGTCATGTACAATTTTTCGAAATTTGAGTATTACTTAGGTCCGTAATTTTGCATGAAAATGTGGGTGAGAAAGTATGTGCGTTTGCTAGGTGTGTTCTCCTGAACGAAAGCAAGAAGCCTCGATTGCATCAGTAATATATCCAACAGCTTGAGTTATTCTTCTGAACTCGTTTTGATCAAAGTTTTACGCCATCCATGCTTTGGGAGCATTTTAAAAACATTTTAAGAGTATTTTATTGATCACTAGTAGACCAGCAATGTTTTTTTCTTGTGATAGATTCCACATCACACGCTACAGGTCACGTGATTGTTAATTAAGTTTCGCGATACGCTCTGCAAAAAAATTAATAGATGAAATACTCTCTCGTAAGTATGGGTTTGTTGCATGTCCTGATTTGGGCACGGTCGTCTAGTATTCTATTGTTATAACATCCTCAATTTTAGAAATACATTCACTCTGACACTGCCTTGGAGAAACTTGATTTACTTGCTCGAGATAACATGCAAGCAATAATTCCGGTCGATATTTCCCAATCGCAGGGGCAGAATATACAGTGAAAACGCACTTAATACTTGAAGGTGCTGCGTGTTGCGTAGAGTTTCTGCTTGGAGGCGCTTGAGTCATAAACGCATAAATCAACAACGTCTCCAGTTTGCATCTATGTGAGACACACGTACACATATTCCCATTGTACTAAGCTTAAGGTGGCTCTACACATGCGGCATTCGGCGAATCCCGTGCAACCGCTCTCCAAATCCTAAGTAGTGTGGACGGATTGCTTGCGATTCGCCGAGCGCCCAACAATTGGTATTTGCCCTACCCACCGCATGTCGGTCTTTAGGACACATCATATGGAACGAACATTCGCCGAACATATCAGCTGTTCTGATTGGGCGAGCAGTAGCTTACTGTTCGGCGAATGCCGAACGTGTGGAGCCGCCTTTGTATTGTACGCGTAAGTGCAAACAATAAGTTGACAGTTTTATCGCAATCGGATGAACCTTACGGCAGTGCATTGAATACGAACACGCAAACATTTATTTTTTTATATTAGATTTTTAGCGGTGTTTAAAGCCATCAAAATCCCCCGTCCAGTTATCTCATCAGCCGGTGTGGCGTTTTGTGTTGCAGGCACGTGGAAGGAGGCGCGGCCAGCGCACGAGGGGGCGGGGCCGGGGGCGGAGCCCACGACCTCCTCGGCGCACGGCGCGCCCTTGGGCGGGGGGCTGCACGCGGAGGAGAACGAGGCGGAGCCCGGCGGCGGCGGCGGCGGCGGCGGTGGGGGCCTCGGCCACGACGACTGCACCATCCAGAAGTACGAGATCATGAAGGTGGGTGGCGCTCGACCGCAAGCCAAGTGCTGCCTGCGTTTGAGCCGGGGATCACTTGTGGGTTTCAGGAGTTTAAACGGGGAGGGATTAGGGCTTTCAATGCTTGAAGGTCTGCTCGCGAAACAACATTATCGCCTACGAGAATCGCAAGAACTGGGATCTTGCTGAATATAAAGCTCACTTATTTGTTCAATCTTTCTTCCATGCTCTCCCTCATATTCTTTCCTCCATCTCCAATCTCCCATTTTCTACCCATCTCTCTTCCACCGCCACCCCGTTACAGTCTGCTCTCTCTTTCTTTCCCTCAATGTTTCCCTCTTTTTTTCTTCTTCTTCTTCGTCTTCTTCGTCTTCTTCGTCTTCTTCGTCTTCTTCGATCTTCTTCGTCTTCTTTCGCTCTTCTTTCGTCTTGCTTCGTCTTTCTTCGTCTTCTTCGTCTTTCTTCGTTCATCGCTTCTTGTCGTCTTTCGTCTTCGTCGTCTTTCGTTTGTGTCCTTTCGTTCGTCCTTCGTCGTCTTCGTCGTCTCTCGTCTTCCGTCGATCTTGTCGTCTTCGTCGTCTTCGTCGTCTTCGTCGTCTTCGTCGTCTTCGTCGTCGTCTTCTTCTTCTTCCCTATTTTCCCCCTATTTCCCTTCTCTCCATCTCTAGCTATCTTTAGCTCTCTCTAGCTACATCTATTTATTTCTCTCTCTCTACCTCTCTTTCTCTCACTCATGAACACACTTTTTCTGTTTCGTCTCTTAACTTTCTCTTTCCCTTCCTTGCTTTTTCTACTTTGTGCTTACTAGAATCGCCATTATTTTCTCTGACTTTCTTTCAAGTTTACCTTTTCTTTGAATTCGGCCAGGAGCAGATTAATATCTTTAATGATCTCAAATTAGGGGGCTCCCTAATATATTTGACATTTACAATAAAAATTAACTATAAAATAGCTAGAAATGTGTGTTTTAACTAAATAATATAAATCTGTTAGTACAACTTTACAAAGTATTATGAATTCCGGTTAAAAAGTTATTGGGAGTTCCTACCTACGCAGGATTTGGGGTGTGTATTAAGACTGCTTCTGCATTAATTCATATCTAAATGCAATAGCAGAGTTTGTCTATTGTAATTTGCATATAGCTTTTTTAGAGCTCATGACATTTTTGTAATATTCGTATCATATTTTGAACGAGATATAAATCTCAATATTTTCTTTGATGAAACTATTTGTATCATCCAACTAGAAGACTTCACGGCTTTTTGCAATTTCAAGTGCCTGAGGTTACTCAAATTTTCTTTGCGGAAATGTTAATAAGAAATTTTTGAAGAAAATGAAATGTTTTTCGGCATTTTGCAGTGGTATAAAAATACATATGCATTTTACTCTGAAAAAACAAATAATAAATTTCAGTCTCTCCACGACTAGTTTTAGGTACTCTTTCAATAATTTTATAAATGTAGTTTTAGAAAAATGAAGTATGCATTGACCCTAAATAAATTGTATTTAAATTAGAAAGTGACTTCTTTGATATGAAGCTCTTTTAAAATTGTATCATGTTAATTATTGCTCTTCACACAAATTGTGAATAGTGAAATAATACATCCTTTTCAGTAAAGTGCTGAAAGTAATATTATGAAATATTCATATGTTTTTGTACACATTAACTAAACAACAGGGTCATTAGTAGTGTGTGTTCCTCCTTAGGAAACCTTTATTTCTCAGGAAAAAAAGTGTCTCAATTTTTTCATGGGGGTCTTTAATCCCTCTAATCTTGGGACACTAAAATTCTGTTATTGTTCCAGGACAATCTTCTGCTGTACAATCATGCCAAGCTAATGGCTGAAGATAATCGAAGCTCTGGAAAAGAGTACTTAGTAAGCATTATGTTCAGTCATTATGATCAAAACAACAATGGAGCTCTTGAAAAAGAAGAATTGGAAGAAGTGAGTTTTGTGGTACTACAAATACATATTGATTTCCAGTATTTTATGCTCAGAGGATAATTTTTTATTTTTTTTATTTTCAGATTGCAAAGAAGGAACATCTTAATAAGTTAGCTAAGGGTTGCAGCTTGGGTCATATGTTAGCATATGATGATACTGATAAAGATGGAAAATTAAACATTAATGAATTTTATGTTGCCTTTAGCAAGCTATACAGTAAGTTATCATAGCAATTATAATGGATAGAATTTACTGTTTCTGAAATGTATGTTTATGACAATATCTTCTCAAAATATTCTTAATCGAGCACTTTTGTGTCTGTGCAATAAAATTATCTTCTATTTATTAAAATTATGTAAACCAAAATTTATTTAGTTGTTTGGAGCTACATAAAAACAAATGTATTCACTAGTGAAAAAACATTCTTTGTTTACATAAACCACAATGTGTTGATTTGTTTTCTTCAGAACATTCTCATTTAAATGATAAAAGCTTGTTTCCTTTGAGAACACATTCAACATTTAGATATTTCATTTAAAATTAATTTACTTTGTTTACAAAGTGTTCAAAGATAAAAATGTATGGCACTAAAAAAGTAAAAGATATTATTTTCAATTGATGAAATTCAGATCCTATCATTAGCATAGAGATTAATTCTCACAAGATAATGAAATCATTTTGTACACTCTTCTACCATAAATTTTTGTCAAAGAAGTTAATATTTTCTTATCAGTCAATATTTTATCACTTGTTCATCTTTTTACTTTATATTCATCACATCTCACTCATTTTGCAGGTGTTTCAGTGGTTTCTTTGGATAAAGCTCTCGAAGTAAACCATCTCTCAGCCAGGGTGGGAGACAATGTTGAGATAAAGTGTGACGTAACAGGTACACCTCCTCCCCCAATTGTGTGGCGCCGTAATGAAGCTGACCTTGCGGCGTTGAATGAAGATGAAGTGCGTGTTTTCAGTGACGGATCACTGTACCTCACACGCATACAACTCATCCATGCTGGAAATTATACTTGCCATGCACAACGTAACAAAGATGTTGTACAAACTCATGTCCTTACAGTACACAGTGAGTTTTCAAAATGGTTCTATTCATTGTTTATTATTTTCTTAATTTGCTAAGGAAAAATGTATGATTGTATGAAATTTTGCACATGTTAAATGATAAGATTTATGAAGAGGAATAAAAATTTTATATGAAAGTTTCAGTAATGCTGTTTGTAAAATTTAATGTAATTTCATTCAAATTTATGATTCAAAGAAATATTGATAATAAATTACATCAGTAGCATAATACTAGAATAATAATAATGTCTTATCCAAATCGAGGTAAATGTTTTCATATTATTTTAAAAGGTACATTTCAATTGAAAATTTTGAATTTTCATGAACTACAAATGTTCAATTTCTTTTTGAACTTCACTTTATTTTAATGTTCCAACCAAGAACTTTTTTATTTATTGTTGATAATGTAATGCAATGCAAAACTGTTTTTAAGTAGATCAATAGACAGGTTCCTGAAGTTGCATCTTATTTTACATATTTAGTTTAAAACAATTGACTGATCATAAAGTATATTTCCTGTTCTATTGTTGGTTTTCTTGCCATCTCTTTGAAAACACCCCCTGTTAATCTTTGAATTTAAAACTAAACTCAAATGGAAAGGTCTTACAAGAAGAAAATGTGAATAAATACCTATGTTGTTTTTCTTTCAGCAATTCCCGAAGTTAAGGTGACTCCTAGGATTCAGTCTCGGAGACCAGGAGAAGATGCTTCAATGTTTTGTCATGTCATTGGAGAGCCATTTCCAAAGGTCAGTTTTTTAATGCTTTGTTTTATAAATATAATTTTTCATATTTGCTTTTCTGGTTCGATTTTTGAGATTATTTATACAGGCTTTGGCCAGATATGATGTTGGACAAATTGGCTTCTAATTATCTGAAGGCTCATCGAATTTTCTTCTCAAAGCTTTCAAATTCATTCCAATAGTGGAATAAAGCTCTTAGTATTCAATATCAAACTTGAAAATTATTTCTGATTAGGAGAGTTATGGTAGGAACCAAAAGAGAGAGCAGACAATGTGGGAGAGGACAGGGTGAGTGGAACAAGGAGGAGAAACAAGAGGAACTATAGCTGATTTCTTTTCACTGTTTAAGAAAAAGTGAAGGAGTGCACATTGTAATTTTTTTCTCTTAATCTCTTTTCACAAAGAACTGCTAAATTCTGTTTTAAGAAGTGGGAGAAATGGGTAGGAATATTTTTTTTCCAAATTCTAATGTAGACAATAACTTTTTTAATATCAAGTGTACAAATCTACATCAAACTCTGAACGAAACTGTAGATACCTATAAAAGTAATCAAACAAATATTGTTCTTTATTTAAGAAGGAAAAAAAATGAATTTGGGGTTTTATATATTTGCCACCAAACAAAACTTACCAACATGATTTCCTTCTCCAAATACCCACAATACCATCATTGTTAGGGTAACTCATGTCATAAGGCAAAGCTTGTATTTATTGGTTAGAAATTATTTTCATTGCAAAGATAAAAACTTTTCCAATAGTTTAATTGATTACCCTTACTATTTGACTTGCCTATTAAGCCTTCAGAACATGACACCTCTTTAATGTGAATTATATTTGTATGGGCGTTGAGCAGGTGGCAGGGTGTATGTGGGGGAGGGAATAGGGGTGTGGGGGTACATGTGTGTGCATGCATTTGTGTGTGTGTGTTAGGTTTTTTGATTTTTTTTGTTAGACGAGGTTGAGGGAAATCTTCTAAAGGCACTGAGTAGCGTGTACTATTCATCATGTGAGATTTTGCCCATACTATTGTTTTAATTTGATATTTTTGGTCCTATGGAGACTTACTTTGCATTATGACACTGACACATTGTACATTTAGAATTTATGACTTAATAATTTGCCCAGTAATGTGTTTGTCAAAATATATTACTATTTTTACTGTGTATCTGTTTAATTAGTTGATAATTTTCCATGCTGAGTAGTTTACAGACAATAGCCCAAAACAGATAATAAGTGAACCTTAAATAATTGACCAATATGGATGACGTAATCGACATATTAAAATAAACTTGGAAAGTCTGTGTTTGGTGTTCTTTTATTGTTCTCTTTATAAGTTTTCTTTCACAGAGTAACAAATTCTAAGCGTTTTATGGCAAAATGTACTTTATATCTTGTAAAAGTCAAAATGTATTATATCACTGATAAGAAAGACTTTAATTTATTAGTAATGTTAAATGTTTAGAACTTCATATATTAAATGTAATTGCTTGACCAGAAACTTAATTTTTGACCGTGTTGAGAAAAAAAAAATTATTAAGTTAAAGGAAGATTAAAGCAAGATATTTATTTTTCCTACATACTGAAAGAAAAAAAAGAGTGTAAAGTGAAGATAATACCTTTCAGAAACATGTTTCTCAAATCTTTATCAACAGTTTTTTGTATTTGTAGACTCAAGTATACCTTTTTTTTTTTTTTTTTTGCTGTTTCAGATTCAAATAGGTAGTTTCAAAATATTACTTCTTGCAGACACTCAAAAACATAAAAAACGATAGGAAATTTCCAAGTTATAATATGATGTATTTTCCAAAATTGATCCAAAATCTCGATATCTACTGGTGAAATTTTTTTGGGGTGGAGAAGGGAGGAAATATTCCCCTAATCTACCTCTAACTTATATCCTTGAATCTAATGTCTTTAACTTTTAATCTAATGCCTTAATACTTCCATTATCATTTAGCAATGAAACTTGGAAGTTTCCATTATACAAGTTCTTTTAATTATAAAGGCTGTTGAACATACATTTTGAGTGTCTTCAATACTTATGAATTTTAGGTGGAGTGGCTGAAGAACGATGAGTCGTTGAAAATGGATAACGGTCAGAAGTATGAAATCATTGGAAATGGAACTGAACTGCAGCTTCATAATATTGGTTATGCAGATACTGGTGCTTACATGTGTCAAGCAACTAATATCGGTGGTGTGACTCGTGATATATCATCATTGGTAGTTCAAGAAGATCCTACTCCAAGTATGTACATATATACATATGTATTTACATTCTTGATATTTCTCATAATACAATAAATACTACACTCACAATATTTCATTTGATATCTTTGTTTATATTAACAAATTATTGTTAATGACATATTATAAAATTTATTTGAAATGTAATGATTAATATTATGTAAAATGTTAATATTCCACACAATAATTAAAATAATGTGAGTTTTATTAAGTAATAATATTTTTATTAAGGAATAATTATATTATTATTTTTTTTTTTATTATTGTTACATTGGTAAATTAATTCATTTTTTCTGAAATTTAACTGTTATGCAAACAGATGCAAGAGGATTTAATAATATTTGTAAGTTTTTGGGTAATTTATTTCATGATAATATTATGGAAATGGTACGGTAATTTATTAGACAAATAAAATTTATATTTTTGATTTTCAGCTGCACCAAGTGAAGAGAGAAGATTTTTTTCATTCCATGACTGGGGTGTATCAGTGTATGAACCAACTGCTTGTCGCTTGTACCATCAAATTCAAGCCACAGACATCATTCCTGGAACGCAGGTTGGTAGAGAGAGATTTTGCAGAGACATATTTTGCAAATGAGAAAATCTCAATGTCATTAATGTTGTTCCTCTGAAGTAAGAGTGAAAAATCTGGTACATATCTAGTGCAAATAAGGATATTTAAGGCAATTTACAACTTTAAGTTTTCTTTTAGACTGTAGGATTGACTCAGTGGAGGTTTTAGGAGGAGGGAGTGAACCACTTCATATATTTTTTTTATCAATGTAATTACAAAATAAAATATTTGCTAGGATGTCAGAAGAAAAAAGTATGATTCTTTTAGTTTATGGCTATGGGAAAATATACATTGATTAAGTTTTAAACTATTTGTACTATTTAAAAGATGACTGAAATCACTCTGAGCAGGAACTGTCACTGTTTTCTTCCCTTGTTCTTCCCCATCTCTCTCCCTTCTGCCCTTATCTTACATTGCTGTATAAGCTAGAAGAGCAAACATTTTGTAATGCAACACTTCAGCCCAGGAGGAGATGCTCCTCCATTAAACTGCCAGCTAGAGATGTCTCTTCCCACTGGATCAGTATGTTCAGTAGCGTAACGTTCAGGCCTTTAAGGCCCAAAATGTTAGTGGGCCTGAGTAGGAGAGCACTGGCTTAAGGTTGAAGGTTTTGCGATTGTAAGAAATATTAATTCCTTGATACTTTCTCTGATACTTTGCGATAGTTGATGCAATAAAAGATAAAAAAAAATAATTTTCCAGAAGAACAATATTTTCTGTTTTGGTATCTTATATAACCCTGTTTCTCAATCAAGAAAAGTAGGCAATTCATTTAGGGTTTATAAAATACTTAATTTCATAAAATTAAATAATGAAGGCAGATTTTTTCACTATTAGTTATTAATCAGATTGATGAATTTGAATTTGTTAAAGGATATTTATACTAAGGTACTAACACAACCTATGCTTGCTACTTATTTTTATAAAGGGGGCTTGGATAAAAGTTTTGTAGGTAGGTCCTCACTCATTTCATCACACTACTGAATATGTCCCTGTTTATCTCCCTTTGCTCAACCTTGAGCCAAATCAGTTTGCCAAAGAGCTGTCACAGGGTTCTAGCAGAAGTCTGGAGACAGGCAAGTCAAACTAATTGGTCTCTCACATCTCATTGCAAGTCAACTCACATAATCTACTTTGTTTTAAGCTACATAGTTATATCTTTGAACTAGCAGGTTTGGAAAGTAATTGAATTACTTTCTCTTCTTAACCCAGAAGGAGTCATGCCATATATTGTAAAGAATTAAGGCAAAAAGAGTGACTCAGTCACCTTGCAAAAAAAATAAACAAAACAATTCATTCATTTGTCTCTTTAAATTCTTACATGTTTATTGTAAGAGTTTCGACACAGAGTAAGAACTAGTAAATGACTAACGTCTTTGAATTTTCTTTTGTCACCATTAACATAATTTTCTTTACAAAGGCATTTCTTGTTTTTAATGCACATCACTCTTTGAAAAGAATGATGTTGTTTTTAAGCTTTTTTCTCAAGTATAGGTAAGAAACATTTCTTTATCTAAAAAAGTTTTAAAATAATAAATCAAGTAATATAAATACTACCAATATAAATATTTTACAACATAATATGAATATAGTGCCGTAATATAAATCTTAGTTAATTTAATAATAGTTAATCAATGATTTCTTTCTTTACATGGCATGGCTCAGGCCATCAAACCTGCCCAACAACACAAAATTTGCGATCCTCCTTTTACCATCTAGCACTAAAAGAAGGTATTATCACTCAAGTGACAAAACGTGCAATTAGATTTGAGCTCAGACTCTTCTTATACATGCAGTAAATCTACAATAAGGGTCAACCAGCTTTACTTTCTCTTCAAAGGAAGGGTTTTTTCGCTTTCAATGATCCATCGCTTTGGTTGGATTTGAACCTGCAAACTTGCGAGTATAAAAGTCTGTTACACTAGTTGCTACCACCACCAGAATTACCACAGCCACCTGTTACATTTCAAGTTGTTTCTTTTTTCTTTTCAAGAAACAGATACAAACATAAAAACTCTATGCTAATGAGAAAACAAAACTAATGTGTAAATTGTTAAAATATAAACATACTATAATCAAAGACATAACCTAAATAACCCCTACCTTGGTATGTGATTGGAAAACAAACTGCTTTCTGTGCATCTGGATTATCAACTGTTGTGAATTGCATGGCAAGGAGCAGTAATAAAGTAGGGGCAGGAAGTTTCAGGGACTCCACCACATGTCACATTTCCTTTGCAATGAAATTTCTTGGAGAGGACCAGAAGCAGTTGGAAGATAAGTGGCCATAAACATTTTCTGAAAGGTTTTGAGAAGCTCAAAAGATAGTAAATACACCTGAAAGTATGTTGGGCTCTGAAACAGTACTGGGCTGACTCAGACACTCCATATGTGCCAATTCCCAGATTAAGAATCGTGCTCAAGCCGCCTTGATTGTGTTCTAGTAATTTAATGAAGGTTGGTGGAAGGTGAGTGAGGGAAAGGGAAAAGAATGTTCCAAATGTTTGATGATCTAAAGAAAGATAGCTATACGAAAACAAAGCAAGTTATTAGCAGGCACACAGAAGGCAGGGAGAGCCAACCTATAGTATTGAGGCAGAATGTTTTTTCTACAAATATCATGATTTATAAATTTCCACAAGAACATTTTGTGCTATTTTTTTCCTCTTCTTGACAATATCAGATGTGAGATATTTTCAGTAGCATAATTAAATATATTGTCTATTAAAATTATATGTATAAAAATATTTGAAAGTACCTATACATTGAGTTCCATTTTATAAGTGAACTTTTCTAAAGAAACTATACTTTTTGTTTGCTTGAAATCTTCTAAGTGACTTGTGGTTATACATTTTATGTTTACTGATTTTATGGTTATTATAAATTTATTTATTTAAATATTTCAATTTTTTATAGAAAATATAATAAATTTGTTTCTACCAAAGTCCCCTTGTGTAATCCTATATAAAAAACCTAATTTGATGTGTTTGAATTATAATAGAATATATTATATGTAATGGTTAATATTTAATAATTTTAATAATAATAATAATAATAATAATAATAATAATAATAATAATAATAATAATAATAATAATAATTTATGGTTTATGTGTAATATTTATGCCAATTTTTTATTCAATCTGCATTTTTCTGACAATTGTTTCAGTAGATTAATATGTAGAAAGCTTAATAAATAATTGAATAATTATTTTTTAAAATTATTTTTTGTATTTTATGAAACAATTTTCATGCAGTAGTGCTCAAGTGAACAGTTCTCTTTGCAAAAGATCATCAATTACTTCAGAAAAATGGTTATTTTTATTTTATTTTTTTATTGTTTTTCATTGCGCTTCAATCCATTCTTCTTGTGAAGTGGGAGTTATACAAGTTATACACCCTGTGTATTTGCAAAAATTCTGATGATTGAAATATGTCCTATGAAATAATCATTAATTATCAGTAAAGTTAAATAATTTATTACATGACATACTGCCACAGAGGGCTGGAAAGGTACTTAGAAAGTTCACAAACTCATTTTATTATTTCATTTGTACACAATAAAAAATGAGTGTCATAAAAATTACAAACATTTATATTACATGGTTCAAATTATATAATAAGTAGACATTTTATTATAGAACAAAGGCCGATTTTGTTCTTTTAGGAAGTTTTGGAAAAAAATTGCCAATGTTTATGAATCATGAAAAAATAGATCTACTGAAAGCGTCTAATAGTGTCTAAAATGACCTAAATTTGCGGTTGATATCTATTTTAATTTTGTTTTACCCTATCCTGCCTAAAACAAGTAATTTTGAAGAATTGTTATAGTTTAATTATTAATTTTTTAAATTTGTTATACCGAAACACTAATACTCTCCCAAGTATTCTGTGATCAAATATGTAATCCACTGCACTCTGAAATCTCACCCAACACACTGAATGTAAGGAGCTCTGCAAGTCAATATAAAGATGTCTGACGCTCATCTCCGATCAGTACGCACTTAAACAATTGCACCTGTTCCTGGTGCAGCTACACTGGTGACAGGTTGAGAATGAAAAGTGTTAAAGAGTGAATGAAATTTAAAAAAAAATAGAGTGAATAAAGCAATATGCTTGTAGTCCCTCATAAATGTAAAAATACTTGATTTTCTTAAATAATAAAATGTGCCTAAAAATCCTTTGGGGATCAATTTTAGACGTTTGAAACATAACTTTTCATGTCTAATGTGTGTTAAATGCCTGGTTTAATCATTTTGTAACATATTTGAAGTGCCTAAAACATTACTTTTCATGAATAATAGTGCCTAATTTCATAATTTTGTTGCCTATAATAGGTGCTTAAATCACTTCTTTATGCCTAAAATTCCAAGGTCTACTAATAAGTTTGTCATGTTAGCATTGGTAACTCTTCATAATCTTCTTTACTTGTAATTACTTACATTAGATCATCTGCAAATTTGTCTCCTATTCCACAAATCATTCCTTTTGGTGATTAAACACATATCTCTTCCCTTTCTTTTATTAAATTTTACGATGCGAATGTTTTGTAGTCATCTGTATTTTTTTCTTATTCTTGTTTTTCTACATTTTCTGCTTTGTTTTTATACTTACTAAAACCATTATTTTCTATTTTTAAAACCATTTTCCTTTTAAAACTATCAATTATGATACTATAAGTTTTTAATAATTTATTAATTTTCTAAATTTAAATTTATAATTTGTTGTGATTTACTTAAATGATTTATTAATTATTTTTTTATGTCTCTTGTACTTTTTTAACATTAATAACAATAATCATTTATATTTCTCTTCTGCACCCTCTCTGGCCAAAATCCTGGCTGTGACTATGCTCATCCTGCCTACTCTTAAGAACATTAAGATGTGTGAAAGCTGTAACTTGAAATAAGACTAAACATTGTTTTATTCAATGTTTAAAACTTTTAGCTTAGTCTGCCTAAAGAACTAAATGAATGTTTGATTAATGAGTCAAGATGTGTAAAGACTAGAGCTTGATTTGTAGCAAAACTTACCAGAATGACATTCAAGAACCACGGGAACTAAATTGTAAAGAGAAATAAAAGAGTAAAAAAACACAAAAGACATAATTTTATGCTTAACTATCTCTGACATATCAGTGTAATAAAAATGTAAGTAAAGAACTTTGTAAAGAAGTAAATATCTCTATTAATTAAATTCTAATTGATGATGATGATGATGATGATGATGATCATCATCATCATCATCATCATCATCATCATCATATTATTATTATTATTATTATTATTATTATTATTATTATTATTATTATTATTATTATTATTAAAGTAACTTAATTGTGGGGTGTTTTGTGGACTAGATTTATAAAAATTAAACACAAGTAAAAGACTATTGAACTATTGAAAGACAGTAAACTGCATAACAAAACAAAGAATGGAGTACAAAAGAATTCACTCTGCTATAATAATCCTGCATTATTGTTAATAATAATTGTAATACTCTGTAATGTATTATAATCATTTAGTTGCTAATGATCGTGTTTACAAAGATGCTTCAAGTAAATCAGATAATATAAACAACTAGTTTATTAAATTTTTGAATTGATGATACTATTTTTAATGGATATTATCAATGATTTTTTTCTACAATTATAACAGCTTTAAATTATTTAAATTTATACCACTAATAGGACAAAGTTTCATGAAAAATAATTATATTGCTATTTTAAACATTCTATTTGCTGTATAGACATTTTCTTCAGAATGTTCTACCACATTTATTTACAACAGAATGTAGGAAATGATAATTTGGAATCTTTCATATTCAAATTTGCAGTTAATTAGTTTATTTTTCTTTACAGGAATATGTATGTGGAGATAAGGGAGTGAATTGTAGTTGGGGTCAGGCAATCAATGTTGCCAACCGATATGTGTACGTTGCTCAGCCTCGAAAGGATCGAGTTTTGGTTATTAGCAAAATTCAAATGGTGGTTGTTGATGTAAGTAAAGCATGTATTTAGTGTAAGTATTTTTAAGGATAAGTGTGTTCCTTAAGCTGCATAAACAAAAGTATCCAGTTGTATTAAATGGAGAGAATAATATAATCAAATGAGTTTGATCCTACTATCATTATACTATTTGAAATTCCATTTTTCCTATTAATGTTTTAACTTTTGTTATTTTGATTTTAATGTCATTATTCAGGTTGTTGTAACTGACAAGTATCCTGTGGAACTTCATTATGTTCCACACCTTGATCAAGTATGGGTTCTTAATTGGCGCAGTGAAGTCAATGAAGGAATCAAAACAATCCAAATAATAAGAGATGCAGCACAAAAGAGGAAACATCATACAGTCCACCCTGAACCAATAGATGGTCAGTTTGACCTCGTGAAAGGACTATTTATGCCCCCAATTCAGGTATGTTCAGATGCACACATGTACTTCAAAAATCATATGTATAAAGTTAATCTTTTAAAAATTTTCTTAAAAAAGAATTGAATGCAATAAAAGGAATATTTACAAAATATGATAATTTTAAAACCAATTTCTTAAATTTTTTCATTTTGAAAATAATTATTTTCAAGGATGAAATAAATTATTAATGAATTATTTAATATTATTATAAGTAATAGTAGTATTATAATTATTACATAGATTTGTATTCTCTGAAAGAGCATGTTATTGAAGTTAGAAGTGGGCCAGAAACTGGTAGGAGATGATATAAAATTGAGACTTCAATGTGTACTAATATTGAAAATAAAAATTTTAAATATTGTATTTGTAAAAACAGTTGCATTTTTTCCTTTTACTTAAAAAAATAATACATTTAACTGTGTGTAACTAGGAATTTTGTTCATATGTAATATTTGTTTTGAATAGGATATGTCCCATATGTTCAAATATGGTTATGTTACTCATACAAATCAACGTGGGATATTCAAATTGGATCTTGCGAATATGCGATATATAAGAAGCATTGATCTTGCTCCTTACAACTGTGTGCCTCGACAAATACAATTCTCTGCTTTATGTAAGTTGTCCTACTACTTTCTTTTATATTTACGACACAGTTCAGTCTGATGCAAGGCATTAATGCAAATAAAACATCTTTGCAGATGGCTTTGTAATTATGGAATGTGAAGAACCTATCACAGGAAGAGCTACTGGACAAATACTACTTGATTATCTCACTGATACAGTTTTGAGTCATAAACCTGGTTTATTCGGGCATCCTCATGTGTCGCCCAACAGTCGTGCTGTTGTTACTTTAGACCGAGCTCGAGATGGTGTCACCCTTGTAGTCCAAGAAGTAGTTGGTAAGGAAACTTGTCTATATATATAATTGGAAATCATTTTTCCCTATTAAATCAAAAAAACCCATTTTGGAGCTTTTATTATTTCATTTAAGTAAATAGCCATGTCCCCATCTGCTTCATTGGTACATCTGAACCTGTGACCCTGAAACCACACAACTTACAATTTTTTCAGTGATTCCTTGATAAAAATCACGGAAAAGGAAGTTCGAAGGAAAAGTTCAATCTTGATAATGATTTGGTCTGTTTAGATATTTTGGAGACAGAAATATTGTATTTTTTAAATATTAATTGAGAAGAATTTTTCATTTATCGTGTTCACTGTCCAAAGAATCATATTCTTCAATACACCTAAATTATTTATAATTCATGATCACTAGGGGCCATTTTGATGACATAAAACATCCCTAAATCTGATCAATAAAATGCTCTAAAAAAGTTTTTAAATTGCCCTAAAAGCAAAGGAAAATGACATAAAAAAATGTGATATAACCAGTTCAAATGAACAAACTGTACGTTATCGATGTGATCGAGGCTTCTTCTATTCGTTCAAGTAAACTCAGCTTTCAAACTTTTGGTTTGAACTGTTCTTTACTAGAAAATCTCTGTCGTTAGTTATCCTGAAATTGGCTGAACCGCCAATGGCCTGACAGATGTCACAGGAACTTTAGTTTCCATACAATGACTGACATTACTTCTGAGTGAAAAAATCAAATAGGCTACCAGGAATTGGTTCACAGGAATTCTGTGAGAGCATTTGTTGCATCTCATAAGTATTTTTCAAAACAAGTACCATTAAAATGATAATAAAACCGATGAAATCAGCAAAAGAAGCATTAAAACTGATAAAAAAGGTAAAAATACTTATTAGACGAAAGCGTGAAAAATGAAAAAAGTGACGTATAAAAATGGATCATTTCCTTTTGTCATAACATAAAATGAATTTCTATACCAGAAAGTCATTTTTCTAAAGTGAAAAGAAAAAAAATGACATTTAATTAAAATCCACCCCCTAATGATCACCTAATGTTTTTATTTTTAAATTATACTTGAGTTCTGAGATAGCAACAAGTGGACATGTTGGCTACTAAAGAACATGAGCTTCAAGAAAAAGTAATGAATCTGATTAATACATTGTTTTTCTTTAAGCTTAAAATTAAGTTTGTTTGCATGTGCAAATCTAAGACTTTCAGATAAAAATGTATAGGCAAGAATTGACTACCTGACTTTTAATTTTTTATTCCCATCAATTCTTTAGTGGCATATTCCTGATAATGCAGCTCATATTGGGGGGTGGGCAATGAACAACTTTCCGAATTTCCACTTAAAAACCAACAGATTTTTTAAATTAATTTAAAATCACAAAAGAGTTATCAATGCTGTCTTTTTAACTAATTCTAGCACAATTTCTTTACACTGTGTGTATCAATGATGTTCTCATTGGTAACTGAAAACTTGAAAGTTGGTATGATAGAATCTTTACTCCTTTCTTTGCTCTCGCCGGCAATGAGCAATACATTGTAATATCTGGGCCCACCCGCATTGTGGGCCTTGCAGACCCGAAAGTTACACCACTGTTACAATGCTAATATTGTATAATTATAATGAGGAAGAAATGATAAAGTTATTATGTTTTTCACAGATAGTGGACTGAAATTTCTCTTTGATGTGAAGACAACTTTAAACATCAGTGACATAACTTTTTATCCCTCACAAACAACTCATGGATATGATCTATATGCAAGTGCTACTGATAAAGAAGATATTCTATTTCTAAATTTAGTAACAGGTTTGTAGCATTTTAAGACATTGAAATAATATACATGTACAGTGTTAGTTTTAAAATTTGCCTCTCATGGTTTTTTCTTTTCCTTGCAGGAAAAGTAGAAATGATTACTGGTGTTGGGAAAGCTATGCATCCTTCTTTGGCCCAGTGGGATGCTCCAAATCGGCCAATTGCTGCTTCTGGCATATTTGGTCATTACATGGTCACTCCAGCCAATGAAGCCCTTTTTGTAGTCAATGGAGAAACACGGACAGTAAATTGTGAGATTGGAGGACTGGTTCATCCTCGTACTATTGTCTGGGTTACCATGCAGCTTCAGTGAAGTGACATGTTTCAGGGAAACATGAGATAGGGAGTAAGACATTACTTGTAGGTGTAAATGAACACACCTTGGTGATTAAGTATTTATGATTTCTGAAGCATATTCAAGAACATGCATTGAGGAGACTTCTGTTGTTTCTGAGAATGAGATAAATTGAAACCATGAAATCACATGAATGATGTAGAGATCTATTACTCAGAAAAACAGACATTTATTTACAGTAAGCATTAATATTATTTAAAAGCCCTTTTCCATCTCTTTGGACATCATTTTTCAGGACTCAAAACCACATTTAATTCAGATAACAATTTTTTTATATTCTGTATATACTGTGTATGATAATAACCATTATGTGTGAAAACCTTGGGTTGGTGACTACATATCATTTGAAAACACTTCCGTGTGAATCTATTGCCTGGAGTTGGAGGTTTATGTCAAATATGCCTTGAAAGAGACTGGAACATCTGATGGCTTTATGAACTATTTGTACATTTTATTGTATTGCTTGTTGATTCAAAACAGCTTCAGAAACTCTTAAAATAATGATGTAACAAATACTTTTTCAGTTTGATGAATTTAATTAAATATATACATATACAGGATACACTCATCTTGATACAATGAAATTTTTGACTCATTTTTTGTATCCATATTATCATAACTATACAGAAATAATTTCTACTGCATTGGTCTTTTTACTAATGCAAGTGAGATTCTGCTGAAGTAGATGACAAACCAAAGATTAGTAATAACTAGATCAATTTACAACATTATTTCTTTAGTCATGTTCTTTTGTTATGAAAATAGTTTGAGATTTATTTCGTGCATATTTATTGTTTGTTACACATAATGCCTTAGTATTAAAACAGAACTTTTGTGCTAGTCTGAAAAAATAAAATATTGTTGGTAAATTTTCCCTAGTCATTCATAAAGAATCCTCCATTTCATTGATTGATTATTTGTAATTATCTGTTATTTAATTAAACTGAAAATATTTTAAATATTGATATGCTTTGAATTGAAAGTCATTTTCAAGCATCTGAACAATGATATTTTATTATTAAAATGCAAGTGTATTATTTGTGATAATTTCTTTTGGAAGTGTAATGACATTTGATGGTTTGATGTTGAGTCATGTAATATATACATGAAAAAAATATCTAATATAGATAGCAAATATCAATGTGACATCATGCAGATGTTTAAAGAAATTTTATAAAAGCTGTCATTTACAAATATTGCTGCAGTGTAACAATTAATGACATGTATTAAATTTGAAATATTTGTTCCAAATGCTTGTTTTCATTAATACTGTGCAGTAAAATCACTGATTCATATGAAATGGAGAAAAAAAGTCTTGCAGTCCAATAGCCAAATTTCTTATTCATGGAAATTATTTTCTGTTTTATACAAATGCATAGCAGTGGGGCTGAGATTAATCAGTCAGCACTTCTAATTGTTAAAATTACTCTAAGCTGCCTTTTCTCCACATTCATGGTTTCCTATGGCTTCCATCTGACATGGACCATAACGAGAAATTTGTATCCAAGTCATCAAAATGCCCACAGTTCTTTCCATGTACATACACTGAAGTGAACCATTAATCCTGTTGGTGAATTGGTCGTATTATCAAACAATAATTAAATATAAAGTTAAGTATATGAATTATTTTATTGCACCACACTGCTGTAGATTAATTACAATATAATGCTTGTCTTTACATATCTTACTGAATGAAATAAAGATTAATAATATTCAACAATTGCTACAGTTGTCATCATGCAATCATTATTACAGTCAGTGTGGTGCATTGTCATTTTGACATTCTGTGAAAGGACTAATTTGTAATGGCATTCAAATAGATAGTATAACTAAAAGGAAAACGTATTTTGAAAATGTAGAAACAGAAATGTACATTTGATTTAATTGAAGGGTGTGTATGTATTATTTATGTATCAGTATTAATATCCTCTTAAAATTTGTTTAAAAAAATTATGTAAATCTTCCTTATTGTAATCGATAGAATTTTTATTCAATTCATTTACAGTTTATTTCATTGTTAACAAAGCAGATTTTTGTAAATAGGCATGTTTAAAGGTAATAATTGTTATTTGTGTGCATATGTTCTCATACATATCCTTATTCTAAATGTTTGTTATTTGGCTTGCATAATGTATGGGTTTTTCTCAGAATTGAAGCGTAACACTGACATGTCAAAATGAAAAATGAAGTTGTACCATACTAAGACATTTGCCAAAACCTTGTCTAACTGTACATAATTATACCCATGATGAAACTCCAAGAGACATAATATGAAGGTATTGAATTATTTGTAACTTTGATCTTTCTTAGATTCCACATTTAAAGATAGTCAGAGGTTTCTAAGTGGTTATTTTAAGATCTTCCACTTTCATTTTGTATGCTACCACAAACAAGTTTGATGGTGAGTTGAGAATACGAAGCACAACCCAAATTTAAAATTTTGAATATTCTAATATTAATATGCACATTGAAAAGCTACTCTTCTTGTAGACTAACCAATAAAATCTTTGACAATCTAGAACAGTTCTGAGCACATAAGCAATGAGATTGGAATACTTTAATGAAAATGAATTAGTGAATATTTTGATAATTTAGTAATGTAATATCTATTTTTATAGTCATTAATGGAAAAGGCAAACAAGATGATTTTTTTTTCTTGTAAATAAGGAATGTCAATCAAGGAAAGAACTGATAAACAAATATGATTGATGTTGAACATTTTCTTTTTTACATTTCTCTTCCTAAATATATTCTTTTTACCAAGAAACTACAAATTTGGCTACACAACTATCCTATTGCTTTAGTATTTATACTTTCAAAATATATTACACTCATATTTAATTTTTTAAATATTAAAATGATGTTGGAATGTGGGACATTTAAGTAGCTCCAGCTGGTGTTTTGAAGTACTAAAATTTGGGTTGTACTTCATACATGAAAGAATGTGAAAGTAATGTATGTATGTAACATAATTAAAATACATATATAGGGCATATGCATACATAGGAGCACATTGACTTGGCAGTGTATCTGGACATATTTAGAAACTTCAAGAAAATACCTAGTCTTGTTGATTCAATATGTATGATTCCTAAGATGTGCATCAATACAAAGTCTTTTTTGTACAACTTTTTTATCTGCCATTTTTTGCATGTAGTTCGTAGAAATGCTAACTGTAGGTGTTACGTATTCTTTATTCACTTATACATGTCAATAGTATTTTTTCTTACAGATATTAAGAAGCTTTATGACCTATAAAAATAAGCAGCAAAGTACATACTGTGTATATTTTTAATAAGAGGAAATGACAATGGCCTCTTTTGTAATGATGATGAACTTAATTTGAATTGAATAAACACAATAATGTGTATAAATGTCCGTCATTGCACAGACTTATAAATGTAGAACAGATAATAAATAAGTATCAAAGTGGTGAGTAGTTCTGTAAACCAATTTTATTTTATCGCATAAAAAATGCTTTCAAAAACACCAAATATCGGTCTGCTGAGTTTATTCGCTGAGCGACAATTTAGTTCCGTTTTTCGCCACCAGATGACACAGGCTAACTCCTTTCCGTCAGTTTCGAATGAACCTATGTAGCGCGTTTTCAAAGTTGTGAATGCAAGAAAAATCTTGACAAAATAAGCATTATCTACTTAAGTTCTTGGTTTCTCTACAGTTCTGGAGAACGGTAAGTTACAGTGTTGGTAAACAGGAGAAAGCTACTCTGTGAAACAAATTGGTTTCTCAATCATTAAAAAGTGCAATAGTAGTGCCCAAAGTAACAAGAGTATTACTAGCTCAACTTTTCTTGAACGATGACCTTGTTTCCCTCTTTCTAGCACAATACACAATGAAGGCAAAAGCTCGCAGCAAGCGCTGATGACAACATTCCAAACACATCTTCACTGGCGCGAAATAGAAACAATTTTCTTTTGAGGCGAGAACTTCTATCCGTTATTTTCTCCAAAAATCTAAAGTAATGACCGAAGCAGGTAAAGATCTATTACAGGAGATACCTCGAACACCTGAGAAAGTTAGAACGCAAATTATTAAGAACGAAGGCATGACTGATTCTCCAGAGATTGGCATTGCTTTATAAAATATAGTGGCCGATTTCGTAACTAATACCCCCACTCTACCCGCATTTCTTCAATCCATCGTTCAAGAAAAGATGCGCGAGTATTAGTAAATACTCGCGGTATATGAACATATTACCTAGTTTTTGGATTAGAGGATGACTAGATAGCTTTGTTTTGTACTATTTCTTTTTCGATAAAGATCCTTAGATTGATGACCAAGGGGTAATGCAATGTCTTCTAAACATAGAAATTGTTTCACCATTCAGCCAACTATGACTTGATGTTCCTACATTGTGCGTTAGCAATTGTAGTGCAGTAAATAGGAGACGTGTAACGGAATAATGCTATTTTCAATAAATAATTTTTTGGTTGCAATGAAGACCATGATCTAACTAGCTTTCTCGAAAGTATTTTTCAAATTTCTTAAATTAATTCGTTAACCCACAACTGGTCGAACCCATTCGCGTCACGCTATAAGTCGATGGTGTGCTCACTTGACACTAATTTGAAAATCAAAGAATTTCCCGCGGGTTACAGAAATAAGTATGTACGTCGTTTCATTTCATTATTATTTAATTGGAATAGTTCATGCTATAATATATGGTTTTATACTATTTGTTATTATTATTTTCTTCTTTTGCATTTAACTACTACATTTTCGTCCAACAATTTTCAAAGTAAAACGTGCAATTTGAAGAAAAAAATGGGTAAAGTAATTCGTGACAGAGTATAAAAATAATGTTAACTAATAGTACTATCAGATTCACACTGGTATACGAAAATTATACTACGGGCTCATATATTTGCCTGTTGTTTAGACGTAAAATGCAGGGAAAGGTACTGACATTTCTCAAAACCACGTTTGTGATAAGGGCTGCGAAAAAACGTTCTTTCTACATAATTGTCTCCACCCATAGTCATCTCGCGTTTACGCTTGGAAATATGTTCCGATAATAAATTATAATAGTAAATGTATATTTCCGTAATAAATGTAAAATTCCGATAATAAATAAGTTCTTTTCACATTTTTTTATCGAAAATGCATAGAAAAGAGTCCACAAGCGTTTCAAAACAGTGAACAATTTTTTAAACCAATGTAACATTCTCTCTTTGTCAATTTCCTATATCAACTACCATCACGACCAGAAGGCCGAGACCTTGAAAATCGAGTCTCCTTTACTTATGAAACGATAAAGGAAATGCAGAGAAGGTAAAAGACAAATTCAATGTGGCGTTCACAGTTAAGTATTTTATAGTTTATTTCACTATATTCAATAATGCAGTTTTACAGGTGTAGTTACATCTGTGTTTTATTGGTTACCACTACTTTGAAATAAGTACAATTAAATAGTAAACAGTTAACTTGTCTATTTCTTCGTTTAAAAATTATTTAGATGCTATTTATTCAAATTGGTGAAATGTACTAAACAATATACAAATTCATCTTTATTTTGGTTAATTATATTATTTTCTAAAATAAATTCACATTTTATTTATTTTGAAATTCATATTTCGTTCTTTAAAAGAGGGCTCGAATCTTTCTGCACATTAAGGTCAAAATTTAAAAAGAGGAAATACTTTTATAAAACTAAATGTACGTACATTATAGAAGTATATTTTGTAAGAACCTTCGTATTAGATTTTAATTTTGCGTTATTACCTCTAGAAATGCGGTTGTCCAACACGTTTTAGTTCTATTAGTTAATTAGGGAGTAGAGATTATTCCTAAAGGAGAAAATCTTTCCTCATAGCCGTTCAAATCAAATTTATTCAATATTATGTAATGTTAATTGGTTTGTGGTATTTTAGAAAACATACACTACATTTCAGTAAGTAAAACCACATGAATATTCGTTTAAAGAGCTCTGAACAGAAGAGTTTGTGCATTTGCACGTTTTGTCCAATGTGTCGCTGTTATAGGGTAAAAGAAAAAAAAGTGTATAGAAGATTTTAAATCCAGATAAAAGAACTAGAGCAGACATGTCTAGTGATTCACATTTCGGTGATCTCGTCAGGCCAGGCTATCTCCCGCGGGTAGCACAAAATCAGTGTCGCCAGATTCAGAGAAACCAATTTCTTTAAATGTTGCATGAACTTTTCCAGCAAAACCGGCAGAGGTCGTAAACTTGATGCAATGTCGAAGGAATTTGTTATTTTCATCAATTTCTTAATTTTTTCATGTGAATCGATTGAAATATTTCTAAATATTTATTTCTAATAATTATCAGTTGAAAAGTCAATGAAGAAAATTGTTTTTATTCTGGATTAAGTTAATGAGTTATTTGATGGTTGAGAGAAAGTTAACGAGTATGTTGTTAATGGAGAAAGAAAATAAAAGAACATTTAAATGAAAATAGAGAGCAGTTTGAAAGAAAAAAAGTGGCAAAGAACGAGGTCAATAGACGGAATAATGGAAGAAACTATACAAATGTGAAAAGTCTACGGGTATTAGGGTACAACAGAGAGAAACGGTAATCCACAGTTATAGCAGCCGTCGCTAACCTTTCGGATTTTATAAAACATTCGTAATTGCAAATTCCGGGGAACGCTTAGGTGACCTTTTTAAAACTGTAACTTCATATTCTAAAATATTATTGAGAGAACTTCCATTTCACTTATACTAAATGCGAAATTTATCATTCAGAAAATTAAAATTTACTTATTGTTTAACAATCAATAAATCATTAAAAATGCAAATAATGTTTGTTTTTTACTGTGAACCGGCGTTATTTACAGGCGGAACCAATGGTTTGTGAAGCATCTGTTAGCGACCACTGTTTATGACCACGAGGGGGTTGGGAAGGTTTGAACAGAAAAAACAATTTAGCCAAAGTATTTATTCATCTGTCTGAGCTACGTGGCGCCGTGGCGTACAGAGGGGGGCGCGGCGTTCTAACCGGTGCGGGCGTTCTGGCGACCGCCCCCGGATGCGACGACCTTTGCGTCCATGGCGGCGGCCTCGGCCTCGGCCGCGGCGGCGGCGGCGGCGGCAGCGGCGGCTGCGGCGGCCGTCGCCCCGTCGGGCGGGGCGTGGGCGGCGGCGATGGCGGAAGCGACGGCGGCGGCGACGGAGTCAGCGACGTAGTTGGCGACGGTGCTGGACACGTTGCCCAAGCTGTGAACTGTGACATCGGACGAGGAGACGGTGGTAGAGGACGCGTGACGCAAGGGGCTTTTGCCGGAGGAGGAGGAGGAGGAGGAAGAAGAGGAAGAGGAGGAAGAGGAGGAGGATGGGGAGGAGAAGGAAGTGTCGTCCAAGCCCGAGCGAGCTGCCACGGAGCGGGAAGGAGAGGCCGCGACAGCCCGAGGCGCCTGTTCCAAAGTTTGAGTAAGCGCTTGTTGGCGAGACACTGGTGCAAGCCCGCGCTGGGATGGTGGAAGCGGCGGTAAATTTTGTTGGTATAATTGTGGAGACCCTAGCTGTTGAGTGGAGGGAGGATGAGCTGCTTTTCGGTAGGCTGAAGGCCGTTCGTGATATCGACGATATGGGTCCTGTGAAAACGCTTCAGTAACCCCTGGAGCATATTGATCAGAATAGCCTTGTTGATATCTGTTGGGGTACGTTTCATAATACGACAGAGGAGGACTTTGAGGGTACTTTTGGGGAAGCTCAATCTGAGGAATAAAACGCTGGAATTGGGAAGGTGCTTGATAAAACTTCTGGGGTAATTCATATTGCTGGAGGTAACGCTGTGCCGGAGGAGGAGGACCTTGGAGTCTTTGCGGGTAGTCGTACTCTTGGAGGAAAGAGTCTGTGGGCGGCGCTGGCTTTTCGGTGGTGGTGGTGGTGGTGGTGGAGGTGGTAGTGGTGGTCATTTTCTTGCGGTCGTCGGCTTTCGACTTCCGCCTGCGCTGCGTGTGGTGTGCGTGTGGCGAGGAGACGTGTGGCTCAGGCCACACGGGGAGGCCCGACCATGACCTCGCGTACGGGAACTGGTGCAAAGAGCCGTGACGCCTGTGTCTGCCGTCGTCCTCTTCGTCCTTGCCGTCCTCTTCCTCCTTGGTCGTTTTCTTGTCGTCGGAGGATTCTTTGTCTTTTTTGGTTTTGTGGCTTGAAGATCGGCGAGTTAATGATCTTGATCCTCGTGGATAGTCTATAAAATATGACAAGGAACTTTGTGCTTACTGTTAGCACTTCTGCTAAAACGAAGGGAAGTAAAATGAGAGAACTGTAAGAATTTTGTAATCTATCTCGTATCATCACATTCAAAATTAAATATATGAAAAATGTTTCTAAAGAAATTACAAACCAAAGAAATGTTATATGAAATCGACTTTAAAATATGTTCTAAACTTCCGAAATAATTGTTTCAAATATCCACTCGAACGTGAGTTAGAATTTGGAGCACAATATCAAAACGTATTTAAATATATTTGTTATAGTAATTTATAAATAATTCTTATAGATTCAACATTCACAAATATTAAGATTGATCACAAGAAGCGCAAACAAATGTTAGAATGTTAGGCGAAGAGAAAATATTTACAAATGGTTAGTTACAAATGAAATTCCCAACGTTAATTTGTCAAAACAGAATTTTATTTATAAATCTTTACAATAATTTGATACACTAAATATTTTAGTTCATTTCTTTGTTTACTTGTTGAATTATCATTTAGCACTTAATTACTTTATGATTTATTTCCGCAATAATTGCGGAAAGTTTTATCATTGATTAATTTTTATTTTCATTGTAAGTAAGAGAAAACATAAAAGGTAGGTTTCCTGGAAACGTAGTCACAAAACTCTGCCGAGGAAAGTCTAATTAATTTCAGTTGAAACGTAAAATTGTGTTCGTAAAACAATGTTGGTAACACGAATTGTATTAATATCTTGGAAGTTTCGAATTTTAATTACTTTTTTGCCAGCGGTTCTGATACTAATTAATGAACATCAAAGTGTTCAATATTCTCAAAACAATATGCGTTTGTGTGAGTTTTGTAAAGATCATTTCACTGCTCATTTCGAAATTTAATTTTTGCTTTCTCCAACTGCATTGTATTCATTCCTTACCTCGATGTTAAACTAATAATTTATTTTTTTTAGACGGCAAAACTGTGTCATTCTCATTGAGTGACGTTTTCACTTCGCTTCTGGCGTACATGACTTGGGATTTAATATTTCTCTTATTACTATGCTTTGTGCAAAGTTGTCGCTGATTTGTTACACTTACTTCACCCTTCCAGTTCGCAATATGCTTTGACTTCTTGTTACGATGATGTTACTGCTGTTACATACAATTAAATTCAATGCAATAATTTACCTTTTAACACATTAAACGTAATAGTTGTGTCTTCAGTTGAATCATGAAAGGTCGTGGTGAATAGCTTTTTATTCGCACTGTGTATCTTACAGCACGCATTTAACTGCAGCTACGCGAGTGTGATACGGTTGAGTTACGCATGCTGGGATCGCGGGCGCTTGGCCGACATTGAGATGCTGTCCACTGACCTGACAATCAGATTCACCTTGTAGCGATTCATTGGAGTAATTTTTCTCGTGTGAAAGTTGGTGTTATATTAAAAAACTGATGTACTTCGAATTGTTAATGAAATTGTTGGTTCTGGAGATTCTCTTCCTCCTGTGACTGATGACTTTCTTCTGTGGATGGCTGAATATAACTGAAAGTTGAATTTAGGTATCCTTATCGGTTTCTTCATGAAACCATTCTCTAGGTTTTTCATATATCACCGTTAAAAAAAATCTTCTATCGGACCCAGTACTTGAAGGTATTGAAAAAATAATTATCAGGTGAAATAAGTCACAGTACTCGGTTTTCTTTCTGTGACCTCGCAACTGCAGCGCACGACGTAATAGTAAATTGTGTAGTGCTGCTTTTCCTCATTTTGAGAATCTCATCGGCTTAATTATTTTTCTGCCACGTATTTTCAGTTACACCGTTTCTTCTTATCCGTAAATCTCCCATCCTCATTTACGGGTAACTACAACGGGTTTCCTTTACGCTGTTTTAAGGATTTCTCTCCTTAACGAAGGTTTCTGAGTGATAAGGAAAAACGGGTGAAAGGAGACTGAATAAAGATGTCGGTATAAAAATATCAATATTCTGTATTCTGTCACGCTGAAGGAAAGTGATAAAATTGAGACGTGTGGTAAGCTTAGTTACAAGACACAGCTAGTTGTCACGTTTTCATTTGACAGCGAAATAACTAGTAACCTTGCATTTCGGAAAGTAGTTTTTTCGTAGTTAGCATGAATATTAAATACGAACCTTAATATATACACTGAATGTTAAAAAAAACGCAGTTTTTGAAGTCGGCACCAACATTAGGTACAGTAAAGGAGTTGCAAACTACCTACGATTTATTTATTTATTCACTTAATGATATTCAAGCCGAGTGACTGAATAAATGGTTATGTAAGCAATTATTTAGTGGTATGAATGGAAGGCAAGGGCAATGGAAAACTTAAAAACCCGCCGTAAATTCCTCTTTGTCCAACACACATTACAGTAGAAAGGGTGGAAGTGTTCTATGAGTTGTTGTAGTCAAAGGAACTTTTGAAAATAAATTATGCATGTTACACTTATCAGCTAGTAAGTGATTGAAGCCATTAACCAGACCAAATTCAGTAGGTGACAGGCAGTGATAGGTTATGAAGGGAAGGACGAGGACCCCAGCATCAAGCTAGCTTTACGAAAACCCATTAACTCACATTCCGCTTACCTTCATACTGTGTTGTGCCAAGGGGTGTATGAAAGCAGTCTTTATGAATGAACACTGGCGACATGAGCCTAGCATATATGGTTATGCCGTATTCACTATTACTTGACGTTTTACTCATTTCAAGGGAAAATTTCTACCAACTTCTGCGTTTGCAAAGTTGTTCATAATATAATCTTCCGTTGTTATAGTTCATTTATATTTTTAATGATCAAAAAATTTGAAATTTCACTCCGATTTGGACGCGGCAGTGACGTTGCCATATTGTACAAATTCATATCTCCCATGGTACGCAAAGTTGCCTTGAAACGGATAAGTAACTTTGTTTTTATGTCAACACTAATACTTTATGTTATTGTAAAAGCTTTGAAGTGGGTCCCCTTTATACATCCAATTTATTTGCATAAAAGCAAATAAATTAGTGTACATGGATAAAAAATTGCAGTTAAGTATATATTTAAAAAAGATTATGTGCGTGTTTTAATAAATATTTTAATAAATTTTTATTACATTTTTGAGATATTAGGGAATTTTATAGTTTATAATTATTGAGTGACAAGTGAGAAATAAATCTGAACAAAAATAGATCTGTAGAAAATTTACTTACAATATGGATCCAGCTGGGCCAGCCACCTGTCTCTTGCCCGGTTAGTTAATTCGAAATTGTATAGATCTGAAACAAGTCGCGCAAATGCTTACCTGCAAAATTGTAATTCAAGTTTCGTATTAAATAATAAATTCGATTTTGCTTTGTTAATGAGAAGTAGTTAAGTCTAGTTTAAACAAATGACCAATTCAAAGACCACTCTAACAAATGTTAGTTAAAAATCTATTTACTTTCTAAAAAAATGACGCACAAGGAAATGTAATAAAAAATTACAAAAAGTAAAAAAACGATATTGTTAAGATAAATTTCTTCATCAAAACCCGAGAAAATTCTGTTTTTTGTCTAGCGAATGAGTTTATATATTATTAATTTTTAATTGATTTTCAACCAAAATTAATATGAAAAAAAGACCTGCAGTTAGAAAAAACAAAAATCTGCTGAACAAAACCACACAAACGGTTTTCCAAAAAATAGCATGCGCCCTTCTCAAGAACAATAAATAAAACACACTCATGTAACACTGCAGCAATAGTGTATTAAGCAACTAGTTAATAATGGTAAAATTTATTGCTTGGGTTCACGTTTTGAAAATGAGCAACGTTAGGAGAAAGTTTTCAATTTGTACGAAGGCAATAAGGCAACATTACAAACGAGTTGCATACGTTATGTTTTTGTGTAACAGCATTTTAAATTTATAAGAGGATCGAAGATAATTTTTGGAAACGAATTTATTGTGACGTCACGGGTATTAGACAGCCGTGCGAAAAAACGGTCGTTGGCTGTTCGGTGCACCGCTACGTCATCAAGACAGTTTGTGTTTAGCTCTTGTTGGGATAACACGTCGGAGCGCTCCGTGCGATAAGCCGTCGTAGCTAGTGAAGGTGAGGTCCTTGAGACCCAAAGGCGTGGAATACACAGTTGTTTTTGCCGTTATTAACAATTGTTTGCTTGTCAAGCCGTAGCATTTCTTCGTTTTTGCATAGTTTATGCAAAATGAAGCTGATCCTTCCACGGGGTTCGTAGTTTCGCTGACCCTGTTTATTCTAAACAACGTATATTACAGTAATTGTTTATCCATCAGTGCAGTGTATAAAGGTCAAGATATAACCCTCAGTGAATCAATGGATACAAGTGGACTGGTGACACTGAACCCGACCATCGCCGAAGACAGCATGGAAGTGGACTTCACACCTGGTTTCCTGCACAGCGAGCGGTCGCCATCTTTGTCTTCAGGAAACTGCACGGGAAAGGTCAGACAGTGATTTTGTTGACTCTCATGAACATAAAAAAAAGTTCCGTTATCGAACACAAAAAAATCCCATTAATCATTAGATCCTAGTCAATGTAACTGTAAATTTCGAAACCGATTCGGTGAATTACGCAATGGTGTACCTTCTCCAGAAGTCAGCCGATTCCAATACGTCAGTGAAAATCCAAAGAACAAACATATTTCGCGACTAAAATTCCCTCACTTTTCACATTAATATTTGAGTGATTCCACGTCAAACAGAACTCCGTTTTGGCCTTAGGTGTTCGAAATTGATTGAAACGTCTTGAATATGTTCTGAGAATAATTAAAAGAGCCGTAAATATTTTTGTTAGATTTTACCTTAATTATTTTGGAATTTATTCCGCATGGAATTTTTCGAAAAACCGCGCCCACTAACAAATAAACATTCTTATTTCTCCTGCAACATTGATCGTACGGAACTGAGATAAGTCTCAAATAAAAGCTCAAACAGTTATTTGACTATTAATAGTTCGATTGAATTGTTACAAATCAATAATTCATTAAATCTCAATTAATTACAAAAAATACAATTTTACATATTTCGCAACAATAAAATTTCATTTTAAAAATGATATTATATTCTCATGTTAATGAATTTCATGTGCAAATAATTTCAAATTGGGATATTTATAAATAACGAAATTTAAAAAAAAATTAATTGAGCGCAGCCACATACGGGGGATGTCTCAATATTAGTACTACTTCCAATTTTGTCTAGATCTAATTTTGTTATAGTGGGCTGTGTTTGTGTGCAGCAAGTGTGAACCGTGTTTACTGCAGGTTGTACATAATTTGTGTTTGTTAACAGAATAAGTAATATCAAACATCCAAGTCATAACTTTAATATTAATACATTGTCTCAAAAAATATGATAGATATAAGAAGAAAAACATAAGGCGTGTGACATCCTATTACATTGTCATTCAAAATTTAGTTCCAGAAGCTCATTGGAATAAAGGACCAGGTCACACTTCACCCTTTTGTTATATATTTCGGCTGAAGTCTAGTATACGGTACAACCTAAGGACATCGTTTAAACTTGTAGTTCACTTATTCCAGAAACGTTGAATTTATAAAAGTTGAATTAGTAATATCAAAAAAGTAATATATTTTTCAGATGGTGCAAGTACGCAATATAAAAACTGATTTTTTTGTTATTTTATGTTTTCACGAAAAGTATTTTATATGAATTCTGAACGACATATATTTGATACTTCCCATGGGAAAGGACCTAGTAATGGAATTGGTGACATCACTAAAAGATTGGCTACGCGAGAAAATCTGCATCCACTTCATGATCCAATTACGACACCAGAAGTTATATTCGAGCGCACCAAAAATTTTAGTGATAGTCTCAATATGTTTTTGACAATTGATTATCAGAAGAAAGAATGTGACTTACTGAGATACCGGAATGAAAAAGTCAAACTATTTATACAAAAATACACTTTCGTAGATCTATTCCTTCATTAACATTTGTAATATATTACTATCACACCTATATATCTATATATCACCACTATACTATACACTTACCTACTATACCTATTACCTATATTCCCAATCGACTGAATAAATATGAGCTTCAACTACTACGTCTACAATTTCAACTACTCATAATTAAAATTCTCATATAATCGATATAATTCTCGATAAATAGACTGAGGCATTTGACTTCATTTCTGGATGCCACTGTCCTCCAGATGTCGGATGTTCGATTTAGAAAGTTAATTTATTGCAATTGTGTCTATGAAATTTTCTGAAATTCTGTACAATCGTACAATTAAAGGTAGGGATTTTATTGATATTTTTTATTTAAAATCAGTTTGCGAATTTAAAAAAAAATAAAGTTTAAAAACAATAAACAATTTTAATTTTTGTATCATTTTAGTACAATTATAATAAAATGTCGTGTTAAAGATAAAATAGATTGAATGTTATTGTTGATGTTAAATAAAATGAAGCTACTTGGGATTCTTTATTTTTTTATTAAGAAGATAATAATAGATGAATGTCTGTTGTGTTAAAAAATGTGCATTAATCCTAACTGAATCGAATATCTATCCACAACTCAAATTACGTCACCCATCAATCATTAAATTTACGAGACTTCAAAAAGATAACATTGCAATTCCCGTAGTTGCGACCGAGTTTAATGGCAATGACTCCCTTTCTATACAATCGTTTTTTATATTTAAATTCATGAAGATATTGGAAATCTATAAACATTAGGATTAAGAGAAGCCAACATTATATAAAATTCTCTTTTATACCACGAATTATACTAAAATCTGCTACCACCTATAATAAACGAATGTCTGTTGCGTCAAAAAATGTGCATTAATTCTAACTGAATAGAATACCTATTCACAACTCAAATTACGTCACCCCTCAATCATTAAAATCGCGAGACTGCAATTGCTAATCACGAGACTGTATTACTTATACTGATAACATTTCTTACATTCCTTATGTTTTTAGTTCAGTGTTTCAAATGCAATTAAAATTCAAATAATTTATTCGTTAAGTGATTACATACATAGGAGTTATGTAAACAGTAGGTATAGCAACAAAACCATTCTAAAGTCTGCTAATCATCGCCGACTTAAACATTTTAGTAATTCTTTATGAAAAAGAGACGTTTAATTGAATGGCTTCAAGTGATCAAATTGAAAGATAATCGTTGTATGCGTTTGTTCGTGACTGCGTAACCAACAAATCAACTCACAGATGAAATACTGAAGTATCGATATGAAAGAGACCCTTTCTTAGCTCGGTTGAATAATTCTCCATCTGTAAATCTCTTGTAAAAGAAACTTTGCCTCGCGTTGTCCTATATTGATGCCATTGAAAAAAATCATCTTTTAAAATTATTGAGGTTAAAACCTAGAAAGTCTTGTCTAAACGGAACCCACTAGAATGCCACGTTATATCCTGCGGTATGCTCACTGCTTGTTCTTTTTGGATCTTATAATATTATAATAATTTGTCGTCTGTTCGGATATTTCCCAAAATAGCAATCTATACACAAAGAGCCAAAATCATGGAAAATATATCGTAGAGACAATTAAAAATTTAGTCTATTGGTTTGTAAGTCAGGGAGAATGTGAAATTCGAAAACAGAAAAATAATTGCATCTGAATTGGAGAACGAAAATTGTTGCGTTCAGTATCAAAAAAAGTCAGTCATTCAAATTATGCAAAAGTCACCAATTTTAAATCTGCATTTTAATTCCATTGGTTGCATTTATATTGGTATTCGTCGTGATATTTGTAGTACAATTCGATTTCCTACGATGAAGTACAATTATATCACTTATTTTACGTCAATTCTTGATTAAAACTATTTTTTTATAGCTGTTCAAGCTTAACATAATATTTAAAAATGTATTTACTTGTTTAATTGACGTCAAAATACACAAAAATTGTACAATATATGGGGAAAAGTACAGTTTGTGCAGGTTTGCTAGCTAAATTCTAAATACCGGGAGAGCAATGAGCGTGTTTGGCAAAATTTTGTACCCAGAAATATTTTCTATCGTGACTTTTAATTTATTTATTTACGTCAAAAACAGTTTAAAACTGTGTATGACGTGCTATAGGGAGAAGTTAATTTGAAGTTACATTTATGTCCAGAAGCAAAACAAAACAAAAAAAAATCGTGTTAAACAATTTGAATCCATAAAATAATCTGCAGGTTTGGGATATTAAACCTTTAGATACCCATTTCCGTCGGAACATGGAGAACGATGGTACTGTTGAGTGAGTTTGTAGCTCATCGCAAATTACTTATGTAGTTTATAGGAAGTATTGTAATGAAAAACGGGACGAGCTTTCGACTGACAAACTCGTGTTGTGGGTCTCTGCTAACAAAAGAAACTGGATAATTCTTTCTCCTACATGTAATATATTACGCCATCTGATACAAAATATAGTCAAAATTCGAGTTATGCGAGTCCTTTTTTCTCGAAAAATTATGTCTGCAATGAAGCGTTTGTCTGTAGTCACCAATAGCGGCTAAACAGTGTATAAGACTTTCTTCAAAATGGACATTCACCGATCGATCTGGCTGCTCTGAATACCTAATTATTTTGATTTTTTAGGGGTTCTTTTCATAAAACCTCAACACTTTCAATATTTTTTAAAAAATGGCTCCTAATTTTTAAAAAATCTATCTCAAGCAAAGTACGTCAATAAAAATGCCTGTTCTGGGTTTCGATGACTTCTGTGTATTTTCAAAAACTGTAAAAGACAATTTTTTCGTGGCGTCTTCGTAAAATATTGAAGATCGCGTTTTTTCTTAATGAAATTTGTTCTTCGAAATCTGATTTTCATTAAAACATGTGTTTTTGAAAATTGAAGATGTTCAACTTTCTTCTTGAGACGTCGGTTTGTATGACAGCTGAGTGGTTTGGTGTACCAGATAAGTGAAGTGCTAGCGAATCCTAAGTTCCTGACTTCAATTTTAAAGTAGGAAAAAAGTTTAGCGGGTTTGAAACAATTCTGCGGATTCAAATTGGATTATAATATTATTTATCAGTTTCAAATAATGATATTATTTTCAAATAATGCGAGAAAGTACGTGCCGTTGTAACATTACTAGTTTGCAGTGAGTTGTTGATAATGGCACAGGATGAAAATGTATTTTCTTAGGTATTACCTTCTGTGCATTGGAAATTTACGATAAATTCTCTAGCCGCATAGCGACGAGGAAATGTATCTAGACATTTCTGTGTATTAATGCATTTAATAAGTTTATTTAATGAATGAAATTAACTCAAAAAAGTTTCAAAACTCCCCAAATATTACTTATATGTTGTTCGTTCTCCAAGTGTACAAGAAACGCTTTCTGTGATTGAAGTATCACACTTGTGATTGTGTAGCAGGGAGGAGTGTGTAAGAAAAGCTATAATTTTTGGAGAATAGCCTGTCTTAATTGCATGCCAGATGTACAGTTCAACGTTAAAGACTGTTAATGCGAGGAATATAATAGTCATTGTAAATAACTATATTGGATGAAAATGTGTTCCCATGTTTGAGTAAGTCAGTTTTTCTAATAATAATCGAATTATTCGCGCATAGAACTGTTCTTCGGTTTTTAATCGATGAGAGCGCATCATTTACGTACAGAACGAAGGTGGCAGGGCCTAAAATCGAACCCTGGGAGACCCCGTGTCCAATTGGCAAAAATCGGAAAGCCACGCTTCATATGTTTGAAATGAAAATCAACGACGTCAAAGGTATCTAAAAATATGCCAGTGTCATATTAGCAATATAAAAATGCTTTGTTTTGTTTTTGAAAAAAAATCTATTCATACTTAAAAGTCACTCTAATGTTTTTTTTTTTGAGAAAAATCTGGCAAAATAGAAACTAAATTTGATTTTGTAATTTGGCATTATATCTCAACTCGTTTTATAATATCTGGAAATATTGCGGTGCATTCCTTATGAGAGTTACCATGTATTACCATATGCTCTAGTCGACTGCACGAAGATGATCTGAAAAATGATAATATGTAGTTAGACTTATTATAAAAGGAAGGTACCTACTTTTTATTTGAAGATCAAACTATGTTTGTTTTATATAAAACAAAACATAATTGTTTTGTATAATGTGATTTTATAACGAAATTGTAATAAGTTGAATGTAAATTAAATTATTTACATGGTAATGATCAGTGTTTTATTATTTTCATAATAAAAATAAAATAATAATAATAATAATAATAATAATAATAATAATAATTATTATTATTATTATAATCTGGGTAGACAAACGAGTTTGATACTCAATGGAATTATGCACACGTAAACAAATATGAATATAATTAAAAACTTGAACACAATGTTTAGTTATACTGTATTCAACTCTCCATCAGCCTGTATGAAAGTTACCGATCTGTTAAGAGATTCCCCATTCGAAAAATTAATTTAATGGCGAAATATATTCAGATAAATGTTTGTTGAGGTGAGATATGTACGAATACATTTGTTGATGTAACTGAGGTCGCTCATAACGTAGTTAGAAAGCGAACTAAAATAAAGTAAAATAAAAATGAATACTTAAAAACTCTTCACATTTTAAACTGCATAATACATTTTATTTAAATTATTTCAGTTCTGAATTATAACGAGCAAAATTATCCCTAAGTAATACATTTAGAATTATGTTAATAAATAGAAGTTCTAACAAGGTATCATTAGATTAGCTCACTTTTTTCTTAAATTAATAATTATTTCCAATGATAAAAATGTAAAATTCGGCTTACCGCTAATAGAAGTAAAGCAAGACAGAGTACAGTTTTCATCACTGATATGGAGATCTTGACCGCACAAAAATGATCCACTGTGCAGCTCTTGCTACTGACCAATGCAGATATTTCTGATTGAATGAGAATGGCTTTGTGCGTAACTGGATCGTGGAGACCCTATCATCCATTTCTTAGTAAAGGTAAACAATTGATTTCTACACAATGGGAACGAGACAAAAACACACAATGGTAATAAAGGGTTAATAGTCTGTTTGGAATTCTGATGTTCTTTGCATATACATTATTTGGTTATCGTCCAATAATTTCTGTCGTCACTTCCAAGAATCAAACAGAGAAGAGTACAAATATTACGAATACGTAGTATGTAATGAAAAACACTTATTCTTCTTAGATTGAATTTTGTAATACATTCATCTCTCATAATATGTGTATTCCTATACTTTGAGAAATGTGAATGTTGAATTGCTTTAGCTTTTGTAATATTTAAAATACGTTCCTCTAAGAAATACTTTAACTGCGCGTGTAGCTCCTAAAAGTGCTTACTTATAGTATGTTGAAATGTGTTAATATAGTGTGTTGTAAAACCAATACTATTTGCATTATCTTCTAATGATACGCTTTATTTTGTCTAGAAGACTAGTATAATTTTAATTTAATTATCATTCATATTGTACATTTTAGCATTGTGAACCATTCCTTTTACCAACTCGACATTCAATTGTATGGATATCAAATATTGTAAGCAGTATTAAACACACCGCACAAGATATTTTATAGAAAGGAATATATATATATATATAATATATTACATACATATATATCTATAATATTATATATATATACCCTATATATATATATATACCCTTAAAACTGTCGACATTGTTCCAGATTGACTCCGTTTCCTTTTAAATTGCATTAAATGAAGACTGTTGCGCGAAACATTGCGAAATGGACACTACTAGAGTTACAAGGCTGCGCAACCATTGTGTGGCCAAAGCCAACGGGAGAAAATTCGGACCCCGGTAAGAGAAAACGTGTGGACCATAATAAAAATTTCCACGGACAGATAGTTTGAGTTAATCTTTTTTCTTAGATTCAGTTGCATTGATTGATTAGCGTTTTATGACGCGTCAACTCGCTAAGGTCATTAGTGCCGTAAGTGTAGTTCATTTCTTTATAGCGAGAGGTGGCGGTGATCTCTCACAGGACGGCGAGAAACGCCGCCGATCTAAAACGTTGTATTTCGGAGGTTTCCCCTACCAGGTGTCTCCCACCAGCGATGCGCTCTAAAATCGTGGCTGGTCTCCCGTCATTTATGGTACTATAGTGCATGTAAGTGTGTGTATGTGGGTGTGGGTGTGTAAGTACGAGGTGAGTATGGGACATTGGGACAAAGAAGAGGAAGGAAAGCTCGTGCGCGGTCCGTGGTTCGTTTGTTAGGGTACTGCTCCCGAATTCACCGTGTGTTGATCGGAGAAACGATCAAAGCAGCCGACCGATGTATTTCTTCCCCGGAGAGCGTCTGAATTCGATCTAGCTATCTGGTTATTGTCGAAAATCCTGCCACCGTCGGGGCTCGCACCCTTGGCCCTCCCGTTCAGAGGCACTGCAGTGACGACAATTGACGGAGAGTAGTGCGAACGTCCGCAGAGCTTGTGCATCAGGACAGCGTCTTAGGAGCGGTGACTGCAGGCTCTGCTGGTGGTCCTGGTCTTTACAGCCAGGAGGGCAGTCGGGGGGAGGGGGTGCAACAACGAGCTAAGTCTCTTTGACTCCCCCTTGACTTACCCTTGTATAGGAAGCGGGGAACCGTGAATAACCCCTCCCTTCTAGTTTATGATATACGTACGGAATTGCTAGCCGGATGACTGTCCTTCAGCACCCGAGTTTTCGACCTAGGTTCCGACGCATGTCTGGGGACCTTATCGAGCAGATATGCCTCGCAGGCGGTCGCCTGATACGCCTGCGGTGTGACTCTGTTTCTCCGCCAGATGTCGGTCTCGGATAATATACCCGAACTGTATGGTTAGGAGAAAGTGAAAAATCGTTAGGATGGATGTTGTCGGAGGAATTTAATTTTGCCGGAAATCTGCTAGGGTTCTTTTACATGCCACCAGAATGACCTGGCTACAGTGGATTTTCCACTCTTTCAAAATCCGAGCTTTTTGGCTGGGATCCAACCCGCGTACTGGAGGTTCAGAGGTTAGTAAGCTAACCTCTCTCCCACCGAGGTGGGTCCCTACTAGTGCAGGGATACCACTCAAATCCTCGCAAAAATCAGGCAGCCCACATCCGCAAGGAATCGGGCAGCGTCTTGGGCAGCGCTGAATTGCCATGAAGCTGCACCAAGAAGAGTAGCGTTGCGTGGGGATCTCGTTGCAGAACGTACAAAGGGAATTCCATATGGCTAAGAAAAATAAACTGTACCTCTCCGAAATGAAGACGGTGACTGATGAGATGTTCATGGCACTACGAGTATTCAGTAGCCCCACATGGAAGTTAAGGGAAGAGGTCGCGACGCAACAATTTATGGTGCATAGAATTGGAGGCAAAATCTAGGCTAAAATGAGGTAGCCACTCTATTATTAGGCTCTTCAGTCTTCCTTAGATTCAAAGTACCGACGTGCCACTATCCCCGATTTTGCGCGCAATTCCACGCATCCTTGCTCGCTACCTCGCTCCCTTGCTCGATTTTGCAAGCAATTCCACGTACCCTCTTTCCCGCTACATGGCCGATATACTACATGCACTGGTGGACGACATCAAGTCGGTCGTCATGAATTCGGGCCACCTTATTAACTGAAGGAGCAACATTAAAGGTTAAATGACATCAAATTATGGTCAGATTCGATGCCCCGTCTTTGTTCATCTTGGTCGAAGCGGTCCATACGCGTCAAACCGCGGACTGACAACGTAATGAGCCGAAATTGCGGAGATCTGCCTCACGTCCTCATTTTTCCAATACCGTGAAAAACTCTATGCTCGACTAGAGGGGATGGCCATGAATTCCAATTTACCTGATGATTGCAAACTTATTCATGTAAGCCTTCAAAACGGTAGCATTCGAGAATGCCCCATTTAAATCAACTATGTGAACTATATGCTGCACCTTAGCTGACTTACTTCAGCATCTCAGCCACATCTCAAAATCATCGTGGAAGTAGAAAACGAGGTTTAAATTATCTTTCCTCAACATGCTGGTGAATCGGAAAGCTTTTAGTAGCTTAGGGCACAGTGTTTACAAGACACCGACCCTACACCAAATGTTACCTGCACGCGGGATCGTACCACCACCCGACAACTATACGGGGTGCTTTAAAAATTCTGGCCATCAGAGAAACTGTGATGAAGAATTCTTGAACTGTGGAATGGAGTTCCTCAAGGGCACAGTTTTAGCTAACGTATACTCGTACAGTGTTGAAGCTGCCAACCAATGCGTACGACATACGGTGACCACCTCTTGCAGAACAGATAAAACCACTCTACCTAGTGCCAATTCAAAACTCAAGACGGCAACTAAAGCAAACTAAACATAATGTGATAATGTTTATATTATTTTTCATCTCTCGCCTCCAACCTTAACATGTGATTCACTGAGATCGTGATTCACCAAATGTAAACGAATGAAAATACTGTTTTTTATTTCATAAAATAGATTAATCATCAGATCAAGAGTATTTTGAAGATGGGATATCAGGATAGGTGCTTTGTTTACTTGAGACAGAAATAATAAAAAGAAGCACACTTTAATTTTAGTTTATTTCATGTCTCATCTTTCACACTAATCCGTACAGAACACAGAGTGGGTGCTTGAATTACTGAAGATGAAAAAAACAATCTCCCTAGATATTACAGGCAATAGATTGATCATCAGAATAAACGCAGTTTAGAGGATGGAATACGGCGGATGGATTCTTTGTTTACTCGAGGACGAATCAATCTGAAATTGTGTCAACTATTACATCTGTCGTCACCCACACTGATCCAGGGGGAGCGTGACTGAGCCGTGGGCGTCAACCCGCGTGGGGCGCGGTGGTGCTGTTGGCGGCGCGTTGCGAACCGCTGGCGCCCTTGTCGGCGACCGCGGCCGCCAGGGCACCCGCAGGGGCCACGGACGCGTCCCCCCTTTTGGCGACGAATGCGTCCGCCGCCACCGCCGCCGCGCCGAGGAGCGTGTAGGGCGCCGGCGGCAGCGGAGGGACGGGGTCGCCGAACGGGCTGTTGACTGCCGTGTGGTGGTCGTCATGCGCCAGCTCCGAGGCCTGTGAGCAGGGTGGGCAGTTGTTACAAAAATTACACAGCCACACACACGAAAAAAAATTCGTGTTCGTGCCCGAGGATTTGACCATGTTTTCTGTATGTTTTTAGAGTCGTTAAATTAGAATCCGGTGTCCATTTTACTCCATCACATCAGGTGGCTTTTGTCATATCATTTTGGTGTAACGTGCATCGATACCTCTCCTCTGTGCAGCACTCCGTTAAGAATGGGCTGCCATTCCCCAAGAAAACTTCCAGCATCTGATTGAAAGTATGCCTGCGAAAGTGGAAGCTGTCATCAAGGCTAAGGGTGGCCCCAACACTCTATTGAATTCCAGCATTACCGATGGAGGGCGCCTGGTAAGTCATTTTCACCCACGTGTCCGGATACTTGTGACCACATGGTGTATGAATATATGATTAATAATTGAACATTTAAAAGACTCTTCTCGCATATTATCGAATTTCTGTGGAAAAAAGTTGGCAAACCCAACCCGAGGCTGCACCCGGCGATACCAGCACCTCCTATCGCAGCACAATCACGCTTTTTGCTCGGTTTTGAAGAAGGGTTAGGGCCCCCAGGAAGCCTTCGACATGTCAAGCGAAACGTCGGCCTCCCAGCCAACGACGCGGCGTCTCCCGGATAGCCGAGAATTTTATTTGAAGGGCTATCAGGCCGTGGCTTACCTGCAACTCGCGGTCTTCGTCGGTGGCGTTGCCGCCGCCGGCCTGGACGTAGTGCTCCACGTGGGCCCGCGCCGCCGCCAGGTCGCGGTGGTGCTCGTCGTGCGCCTGGACCTCGCCCGCGCCCGCCCGCGCGTCGTGGCCGCGCTCCACGTCGACGGCGACGACGCCGCCGCCCGCGCCGCCGGTGGCGGTGGCGGAGGAGAAGCAGCGCCGGCGCGGGACGTGCGCCGCCGCGATGGCCGCGCGCGCCATGTTGGCGAGCGCGTGGTGGTCGTCGTGCGCGCGCGCCGCCGCGTGCACCGCCTGGCCCGAGACGCGCGCGTGGTGCACGCTGGCGGCGTCGTGGCTCGTCGGCGTGTTGCCCGCGGGGACCGCCGTGAGCGACTCCGACCGCCTCGCGGCACCACCCTCTGGATCGCTGCTCGTGGTTTGATTGGGCCGGACCACGTCACGGCCTGCGCGGACCGCCAAGTCGTGACTCGCGCTCGCCGACTGCACCGCGCCACCATCCTCTGGATTGCTGTTTGTGGTTTGATTGGGCTGGATCGCCGAGTCGTGACTTTCGAAGGTCAATTTCTCAGATGGTTCCGCGGCACCGCCCTCTGGATCGCTACGAGTGGTGTCATTCAACCGGACCACGTCACGGCCTGCGCGGACCGCCAAGTCGTGACTCGCGGTCTCCGACTGCTCCGATTGTGCCGCGTCATCACCCATTGGATTGGTGTTTGTGGTTTCATTCGGCCGTATTGCGCCATCAGCTGCCCGGACGGCGGAGTCGTGACTTCCAGAGGCCAACGTCTCCGATTCTTCTGCGCCACCGCCCTCTGGATCGCTGCTGGTGGTTTCATTCGGCCCGACCACCTCATGGCCGGCGCGGACCGCCACGTCATGACTCGCGGTCGCCGATTGTTCCGCGCCACCGCCCTCTGGATCGCTCGCTGTGGTTTGATTCTGCCGAACCGCATCACCTGCACGGACCGCCGAGTCGTGACTCTCAGACGCCAACTTCTCCAATTGTTCCGTGCCGCCGCCCTTCAGATCGCTGGCTGTGGTTTCATTCAACCGGACCACGTCACTGCCTGCACGGACCGCGAAGTCATGACTCGCGGCCGGCGACTGCTCCGATTGTTCCGTGCCACCGCCCTCTGGATCGCCTCTTGTAATTTGACCTCCATGGCTATCGATGGCGGTTGCGTTTCCTTTTGAGACGTTGACGTTCTTAAATACGGGTTTACGAGGGAAAGTCCCCAATGTGGCGGGTTTCTGATAGGGACGTTTCAGACGAGGTCCCGACTTCATTCCATCGCTCATACTTTGAACGCGTCCGTTTTCCTTCGGCGCCGCTGTCGTTGCTGTGACACAAATGAAGTGCATGCACCATAAAAATAAATTTAGAAAAAAGTATAAAAACATTCTTAAAATAAAGAAAATTAATGTAACGTAATGATTAGTAGGGGCGGATTTTGTTGACCTAAAACATTGCCAAGAATGATGAATTAAATATTCTTAAATGCTTTAAAGCTGCTTTATAAGAAAGAAAAATGTAAAAGATTTGATCAAAACCACTTCAGATGAACAAGTCAAGCTGTTGAATATGTTTCTGATGTAATTGAGGCTTCTTTGTTTTGTTCAAGTAAACTCAGCTTGCAAACTTTGAATTTGGACTGTTCTTTAAAAGAAAATGTCTGCTTTTATCTATCGTGAAATCGGCCGAAATGACAAAGGTGTCGAGAAAAGTCACAGGAACCTTAGATCACATAGTACTCACAACGGCTGACAATATAATACATGAGCAAAGAAATCAAATAGGGAATTCAGGATTTCTGTGGTGAAGATTTGTTGCACCTCGTAAATATTGTTTGAAGCAAGTACTATTAAAATGATATAAAAATCGAAGAAATCAGCGAAAAAATGCAGTGAAAATGACGCAAAAAGTTAAAAAATGACTTGTTAGTCGAAATCGACTAAAAATACAAGAAAGACAACACATAAGAACACATAAAAATGGATCATTTAGTTTCATCAAAACATAAAATGAATTTCAATACTAAACAGTATTGTTCTAAAGTAAACAAAGAAACAAATATTTCATTAAAATCCGCCCCCTAGTGATTAACAATAATTTTCTTGGAACATTTTTACTTTCTTACATAGTACTACTTACGTCGTGTATAGAAAGCTGCGAAAAAAACAATTTTCAAAACAAGAAAAAATAGTATTTTAGAACCCTTTTTTCTCTTCTGCAGATTAACTATTTTACAGAACAGTTATAGAAAGTTTCACACATATTACAATTTGCTATGTTCAATTATTATTTATAGGGAGGTTGTTCCCTCTGGAATCATCTTCAATCATCCAGAACAGCAGAATTCTCATTTTAGTTCTTTAAATATCTTTTACATTAGAGTAGGAATGTAAGATGGAATTGGTTTAAAGTGGGCCAAACTTGTCCTTGGAGAATCTGGAGCGCATCATTGTTTGTAGAGGGTCAGAAGTTTTCTCTGGATAAAGAATATTATTTGCTACAAAATTAGATAGTTTAAAGTACAACCTATATCAGATACATGACTGATGCTGAGAGATTGTTGGATACTGAGGTATTTATAAATGTTATTATTTGAAACATACCAGGGAACATTCAAAGCTGTACTCAAGAGTATTTTGGAAAGTTTGAAGATGATTGATGGGCGAGCGTATGTTAAAGAGGGAAGAAGTAGGGCTTTGTGAAGATATAGAGATGTGTTTCTGTGAAGGGAATACTTCTTATTTATCATAGGAAATAATTTACGAAGAGCGGCATAGCCTAGCTTTAAATGTGACGGTGAGAATGAGGGGTTTCCATGCCAGTCTGGTGTCTAATAGAACTCAGAGGTATTTAATTATCTTGTTTGGGTGTACAGAAGATGGAAGTATTGGATATGTTTAATGGGGGCAGGTCAGGGATGCGTTTTAGCGCAAACATTTTAGCTTCACATTTTGACCAAATTTAGTCTTCAGTGCACTGACCATTTACAGAAATTGCCTAGAGCCATTGTGTGATGGTCATGAAAGATTGAAATTGAAAATAAACAAGACGGGATCGTCGGGGTATAAAGTTGTGCAGGAATCGTTCACAGAGTACTGTTCTCTAAATGTGCAATAAACGTTCAAAGAAAAGGTGAAATCTATTTAGAGAAAAAATTGTTTATGTACTCTAGGAAAGTTTTAAACACAATTCGCTTCAACGATGGACTGATTTCTGAGCTGATTTTCTGAAATATTGAAACCATTTTAAGTGCCAATATTGACAAATAGTTCACAGTATGCAAGAAATCTCTATCTTCAAAAAATAAGTTAACTTTTCCCATTTTGAAAATATCGAGTTTTTAATAAAATCAGACCTGAGCAATTATATGAAAGGGAGACCAAATATACAGAAAAAAGGTTTTATGCCTTCTTTTTCATTATTGTAATTAATTGAACTGATTTTGTATTTGAAATAACATTTAAATTTGTTCTTTTGATCATAAAATGTTTAATGTTGCAGCCGAAATAAGTTATGGAACTTTTCAGGTGAAGAATTTGAATTTTATTTTTTGAGAGAATTACCGACAAATCAATACTAAATATTACTACACATGAAGAAACATTTTCAGTGCAACTCTATCAATAGTTACTTACGCCTTGGCACCGCAAGTACGAACACCTGAAAACAAAACAAAATTGATTTGAATAATAATAATAATAATAATAATAATAATAATAATAATAATAATAATAAAAAAAAATTATAATACGTCAACATTGTTTCAAAATTATTTTCATTTATTGAAAAATTTACTACTAATAACTTTAGTTTCTTATTTTTTAATAAATGAATTAGTTAATATTTTAATGTTTTAGTACAGGACCCAAAAATAAAAGCATTTTAGAAAATGTTGAAAAATTGGTTCTCATGATCACAATTGGTGTTTTGGTTCTCATGATCACAAAATAATTTGCAGTCCTGACAATCACATATCGATTAGATGCCAATTCAAGGTTCTCGACGCAAAACGGCACTGAAATTACAAGCCCATCAATTACAAGTGTTCCTAGCTATTATAATACACATTGCATATCTAATTTCTAAAATTTGGGGTTTGAAATTTTTTTTTGCATGTCTTGTGAACTACATGAATTTTCAGGGAAATCTGGTGCGCTAAAAACGGTTATTATGTTTTTCTATCCAATGAAAGCATTTAAGAATAGGAAAAATTTTACGTGTTTCAAACAGTAGTTTAAATTCGCATTTTATATTCCAGAGATTCTTTCAAATACTTTCGCTTCCCAATTGTCTTGAATTACAAAACACCTTGCACAAGTAAGTTGTTCATAGTGCATTAGTATTGAAAACTGTATTTACTGACGTGACAAAAGTCACCTGGGATGGGGTACCTTCCTACGTTGTGTCGGACCTCCTTTTTCCGGTCGATGTGCAGTAACTCGACGTGGCATGGACTCAACAAATCATTGGAAGTTTCCTGTAGAGATATTAAGCCATGCTGCCTCTATAACCCTCCAAAAGTATTGCAAGTATTGCCGGTGTAGGATTTTATGCATGTGCGACCTTTCAATTATGTCCCATAAATGTACGATGCGATTCTATCGGGATATCTGATTCATATAGGGATAACTATGTGGCTAAATCATTCGCTCGAATGATCAAGAATGTTCTTCAAACCAATCGTGAACAATTGTGGTTCAGTGACATGATGCATTGTCATTCTTAAAAGTTCCTTCGTTGTTTGGGAACATGAAGTCCATGAATGGCTGCAGATGGTCTCCAAGTAGCTGAACATCACCATTTCCAGTCAATGATCGGCTGAGCAGGACCAGAGGATCTATTCTATTCCATATAAAAACAGCCCATATTACAATGGAGCCACTACCAGCTTTTACATTGCCTTGTTGACAACTTGGATCCATGGCTTCGTGAGGTCTGCAACACTCTCGAATTCTACCATCAGTTCTTATCAAGTGAAATTGGGACTCGCGTGACAAAGCCACTGTTTTCCAATCGTCTAGGGTCCAATCAAAATGGCCACGAACTCAGAAGAGGCATTTCAGGCGATGACGTGCTGTTAGCAAAGGCCTCCCGCTGATATAACCCATTGAAGCCAAATTTCGCCACACTCTCTTAATGGATTCGTTTGGTTATTTAATGCAATGTTGCTTGACTGCTAGCAGTAACAACTCTACGAAAAGCCGTTTCTGTCATTAAGTAAACGACATCGGCTACTACGTTGACCGTGATGAGAGGTTATATCTGAAGTTAGGTATTCTTGTCTTACTCCTGACCCTGTAGATATCTGAAGTTAGGTATTCTTGTCTTACTCCTGACCCTGTAGATATCTGAATATTGAATTCCCAACCGATTTCCGAAATAGAATGTTTCATGCTTCTACCATACCTTCATATTATTACGCATTTAAAGTCTGTTAATTAGAGTTTTGCGGTCATAGTTGTCTTAAAAACCTTTTTACATGAATCTCTTGAGAACAAATGAAAACGCAATGCCCTTTTTATACCTTTGTATACGTTACTACTGCCATCTGTGTTTGCTTAAGCTCTTCCATGACATATGTCACCTCAGTGTATATCTCAGAGACTTACGATAGATAAATTAGGATTTTGTCATTGAGATCCTTATAGAAATTGAATTTTCCATGATAGTTTCAATTTTAAACCTATCCTATTACAATAAAGAATTGCAATTTTACTTCGAACGTTGTTAGCTCTTATTACGCCGCGAAAATTAGAGCACATTAATTTACCATCTTGAAATAATATTTGTGGAGTTTCAATGCGTTGTGGGCTATAATATGAATTACTGGCGTAATAGTTTGTAATTAATATACATTGTGTTCGCGACGAAGACCACGTTTCGAGAGCATTCTCAGAGCATCAATTGATGTCCCTACAGTCCCTCTGACCGGGAGGTCTTAGGGTCAAAACTCGATGATCTCAGGAGTTTCGTTACTAGCCAGATAGCTAAATCGAGCCCTGTCGCTGTCTGGAGGAGAATTCTGGCGGCTGGCTGCTCTGATCGATAATTTTTCGTGTTTTTTCCGATCAACACCAGGCGAATGACGGAGCAGTACTCTAACAAACACGGGCGACGGTCCGTGGGCGATCTTTCTTTCCTCTTCCTTGCCCTATTATCACCCCTTACACACACATACACTAACACGCACTACACTACCACATATGCCGAGAGACCCGCCAGGACACGCGAGTTTGTCCCTGCTGGGGTGGTGCCCCACTGGTGGGAGATACCTGGTTGGGGAAAA